AAACAGAGATAGTCTGTTGGATCTCATGTCTCTGCGAGAGACTCACAGACTAGAACATTCTCACCTTTAGCTTTTCAAAAACCATTTCCAACACGATTATCATAGCATGATTTTCTGTTTTATAAGGTTTCAAAATTAAATCACTTACCTGTCTGCCTCAAGCTTTTAAATAGAACATTCCCCTCACTTTCCTGTAAAAAAAATACTCAAGCATTACACTGAAGTGTGAATACCATCAGCTGTTAAAACCAAAGACTGTGTAATAACCTCGAGTTCAACTTTGTAGTTTTCAACCCAAACTCACATTTTATTTATATTGAAATAAACTATACAAAATTTATTTTCTTCACAAAAATAACAGCAATATTCTATTATTTTTAGCCAAAGTATTTTTAAAGATTTTTTTTCCTATAAATCAAGATGAGGCAGTAGATATAAACACAGAAAGGCATGTCAAATGCCTGTTTTGACCATGAAGCAGAAGTGTTCAACATTTACCTAAAAACTTAGGCTCAACAAAGGAATGTAAACAGCAACACCAGAACGTAAGCCAAACTCTTCCTTCTCGATTTTAACTCTAGCTTGTTCCTTTCAATACATTTGATAGACAAAATTTTCACAAAAAACTTTGCTTAGTGAGCTTAGGAACCTCTCTCTCTGGTAATTTCCCTAACCTTCCACTACAGTTTTTTTTTTTTTCCAGCACCAGACATTGAACTCAGAGCCTTGCAATGTGCTAGGAAAACTTCCTATTATAGAGCTGCATCTTCAGGACCTGTTTATGTTTTTGAGGCAAAATCTTACTATGTATCCAGGCTAGCTTTGAAATAGAGATCTGCCTCTGTTTCCCCCATAGCTGCCCTAATTGTAATTTTACCTCCCCTTTTGCAGAAAAAAAATATTCCCAGGAGCGATCAGAGTCAAATCAAGTCTGAATCCTACACTGAATTGTTTTGGAGATCCAAACTTGTAAGACGCTTAGTCCCATTAAAAACCAGAACTATTACAAGGGGCTTCAATACCCTGTAGGCTCTGACTTCATCATTGTTTTCTCCATTTACTCACTTTTAGTCAGACTTTGAAACCTTGTTTAGAAAAGGCATTTAGAGCAACAGCCATTTAGGCATTTAAAAAAAGAGCTAATACATATTTGGTATCCAGTGTGTATCAGGCCTGTGTAAGATACTTTATTATTAGTGTGTACTAACTGTACAAAGTGATTTCATCACAGTATTTCATACATGCATATATTGTACAGATCAGTTGCCTTTATTGCTCTCTCTTTTCCCTGTCCTCCTTTATTTTCAACAGCTTTCAGTGGGTTAATTTGTGCTTTTTGCATATAAACAATGTATTTTGATATTGTTTATCCCCATCATTCTCTTTCCCTTTCCTTCCCCTTGTCCCTCAAATAGTCCCACAATTAGTCACGCATATGTATATATGTGATGTATACATACATGTATATATGGTGTGATGCTACATGATAGAAAACATGATTTTTATACTTCTGAACCTGGTTTACTTTGCTTAATATGATGGTCTCCAGTTCCATCCATTTTCCTTCACCTTTATAGCTGAACAATACTGCACTGTTTATATATGCTACATTTTCATCCATTCATCAGTTGTAAGGCATCTAGGCTGCTTCATAGTAATTGGGAATAATGCTGTAATAAACATGGGCCTGCAAGAATTTCTATTGCATGATTACATTCTTTGGATTTAGGCCCGAGTGGTATAGCAGAATAATATGTAGTTCTATTTTTACTTTTTCAGGACGACTACACTGCTTTCCATAGTGGAAATTATGCTAATTTACATTCCCATCAGCAGTACATACAAGTTCCCTATGTCACCCCACAACTTTGCCAGTATTTTTTGTTGTTTTCCTTTTTTTTGAGGGGAGGGTCCGGTCTGGGGCCTGAACTCTGGGCCTGGGCACTGTCCTCAGCTCTTCAGCTCAAGGCTAGTGCTCTACCACTTGAGCCACAGCGCCACTTCTGGCTTTTTTCTTTTTGCTTATGTGGTGCTGAGGAATCGAACCCAGGGCCTCAGGCATGCAAGGCAAGCGCTCTACCACTGAGCCACCTTCCCAGCCCTGTTGTTTTCTTGATTATAGCTATGTTTTCTGGAGTGAAATAGAATCTGAGTGTTGTTCTGATTTGCATGTCCCTTATGGCCAGGGATGTTGAACATTTCTTCATGGTTTTTTTGTTGCTGTTGTTGTTGTTCTTGTTCGAGGGCCTGAACTCTTCAACTCAAGGCTAGTGCTCTACCATTTGAGCCACAGTGCCACTTCTGGCTTTTTCTGCTTATGTGGTGCTGAGGAATCAAACCCAGGGCTTCATGCATGCAAGGCAAGCACTCTACCACTGAGCCACATTCCCAGCCCCTTCTTCATGGGTTTATTGGCCAATTATACTTTTAAAAGAAAAATTGTTCAAATCATTTCCTGTTTATGAATTGAACTATTATTTTTTGGAGTTTATCTTTCTGAAATCTTTGCGTATTCTAATTATCAATCCCTTGGCAGATGTATAGCTATGTGTCAGGAACAAAGGCATCACCATCTGCATACTTAGATAAGGAGAGTGAGACAGATTTTACATTTGAACAGAGGGAAGAATTTCTTAGAAAGCATCCATAGTGGTGACTTTTCCTTTTCTAGGAAAATACTGTTTGCTGTCCTCTCCTTACAATTCCCAACTCCCTCTACCCTGCTCTCAGAATCTGCCCTCTACAGGTTGCATCATCCAGACTCTTGCCCCTAGAATTCTGTGGAGACTAGAGGGCAGGAGGAGAGAGAAAGTTTAGGGTATTTATTCCTCTCTGCCTTGCCCAGTTTTTGCAGTGGTTGCTTAGTACTTCTGACAACAGTTCCTGTCTGGAAATCCCTCTTTCAGAATAGTAGCTCTAGCTGGGCTTTGGTGAAACCCCTCCCTTTATTTCTTCTTCAGAACTAAGGTGCTAGTGAGTTGCCACTGTTGCTAGTCCCTGTGTCTCACCATTCCTTGTTAATCTCTTAAACATTGATCAGGCCTCCTTTACCCTTTGGTAAAATTCTCTTCAGTTGAACCCTTTGGAATACTGTTTTTCTGCTAGTACATGAGAAAAAATAATAAAAGACATTTCCTTCTCTTTATGGCTTCCATTCAATTTCTAATATCTGCAAGCATTTCCTCCCCTTCCTCTACCTCAAATCTTCCCATCCTTCCTGGTCTTTCATAAATTGTTTCTATATAATGACTACCTACAGCTTAACACTGTTGTTACCACAGCTATGCTAAATCCAGTGTAGCATTAGCCCTCTGTTATCCTTGTTGTTCTATGACTATTCAGCTTTGTGAGTTAGGTCATCCCAGTGAGCAATAAGTTCTTTAGGAGCTTATTAGTAGAGAATTTTGGCAGTTAGAATTCAGAGGACAAATATATTTCAGTTGGAAAGAACCTTAGAGGTTAAGCCTTATTTTATGTACTTATTTTACATATGTGAAGATTCAGGTTCACATAAAGAAAAGGTCTCACACCACTATACAGTTATATCTGGGATTAAGATTCATCCCACTACTTCACTGTGCTATACTGCACTGAATATTTAGTAACCATTAATATGCTGATCACTCCCAAATTTATGAGGGTTGTCATTTATTCAATGCTAGACTGTGCCTAAATGAACACCAGACACATAGTAAATGTTCAACAAGCATCTGTTGTTCAAACCTGGGAATCAGCAAGACAAATTCCTTAAAAGCTAATCAGAGCCAGGTATGGTAATCCTAATCATGTGGGAGGTGGATGGAGGTGGAGATCAGGAAGATTGTGGTTTGAGAGCAGCCTATGCAAAATGTTAGTAAGAGCTCCATCTCAACAAATAAACCGGTGGCATGTGCCTATGGTCTTAGCTACGTGGAAGGCCACAGATAGGAGGATACCAGCCCAGGCTAGCTTTGAGCAAAAACTCCACAAGACTCAAATCTTTTTTTAAGCAAAATGATTTGGAGAAGTGACTCAAATGGTAAAGCACTTGCCTAACAAGCACAAGGTCCTTAGTTCAAACCCCGGTACCGCCACAAAAAGTTAATCAGAACTCACAGGGTCATTTATAATAAAAAAAATCCTTACACATGTAGACTAAATGTATAGTTACAAAAGTCCTGTATGTATATGAGCCAGTTTGATCCTTCTAATGTTGACATGGCAGGAATTATTATTCCTAGGTGACAACTACAAAAATCTTGGAAGCTAAAAGTTCTAGGTTTTTGGGGCTGGGAAGGTGGCTCAGTGGTAGAGCGCTTGCCTTGCATGCTCGAGGCCCTGGGTTCGATTCCTCAGCACCACATAAGCAAAAAGAAAAAAGCCGGAAGTGGTGCTGTGGCTCAAGTGGTAGAGCTCTAGCCTTGAGCTGAAGAGCTGAGGGACAGCGCCCAGGCCCAGAGTTCAGGCCCCACGACCGGACCCAAAAAAAAAAATAAAATAAAAAAATAAAAAAAAATAAAAGTTCTAGGTTTCCTAACTTTTATGAGGAAGAGCTGAGACCAGTATTCATACCTGACTCCTGCTTTACCATTCTTGCTATTTTATATTGCTTATTCAACTCTGCCTTTCTGTATAGGAGGATCATTTAAGAAGTTATTCTGAATATTCACAATGACTAGGTAGATTAAACACACTTACGTCCACTATTAAAGACACTTTTGTATACTAATTCTGATTAGGCACAGCCTACGGTCTGGTCCTGACACTCTGGAGCCTGCACTTCTGGTAGAGAAGCTTTACCATCATGTGATCTAAGATGAAGCTGATTGGACAAATGTGTGCCCTTTGGGAGTTATTCTGCAGATCAAGACTAGGCATCTGGGCAAATATATCTTGTCTACAAATGTCTAGGAAACAAAAACACTCGAGTACTGGGAAAGAGCAATATCTGGAGGAATAATGAGAAAACAGTTCTCAAGAAGTAGGATAGACAAGGACATACAGAAAAGGAGTAGTCATACAATCTCCAAAGATAAAGGGAGAAAGAGATAACCTTTCCTCTGGCGCCCCCTTTGGGCGCTTCTTGCTCACCGTCGCTGCACTGCCGTCGACCCCAGCGACCTCCATCGTAACGCACCTTTGTGCGCAGGCGCTGCAGAGCCCAAGCTTCCGCCCTAAGAGAACCCTACCCCGCCCCCTTTCCCACGAGCCAGCCACGCCCCCTTCACCCGGTGCCCACCCTTCTTGGCCAGTAAGCCTTCCTTAGGTCCCCAGCGGCTGTTGGCCTGGCTTTGAAGTGTCTGAGTGCTGATCAACCTCAGAAATCACCATGGGATGAAGTACTCATGCTCTGCCTTGGGTAGACCACGGGCTGTTGAGGGGAGATACACAAGTATTGCAGTGTAGACTGTTGTGCAGAGGGGCTCAAAATTGGTGCCTCAAAGATGTCAGAGACTAAGCAGGGGATGGAGCTTTCAGACATTCTGCCACGAGGCACCTGTGGTACAGGTGCACGTGTTGGGGAACTTAAAGCTAGTGCTTCAATAGTTGCAGAATGGATTTTCAGCCTAGAGGATATGGGTGATCATAAAACTTTTTCGTGTGTTGGTCCTGGGCTTAGACTCAGGGCCCCGGGCCTGTCCTTGAGCCGGAACCTGTCTTTTGTGCGCAAGGCTAGCACTCTACCACTTGAGCCACAGCACTTCAGCCTTTTCTGAGTAGTTTATTGGAGATAAGATTCTTAAGGACTTATCTGCCTGGGTTGGCTTCAAACCGCAGTCCTACATCTCAGCTGCCTGAGTAGCTGGGCTTATAGGCCTAAGCCACTGGTGCCCGGCTTGATCAAATAGCTTTAAAGAGAGAGAGAGTAAATAAGGATACAGGTGGACCCATTGACACAATGAGATGTACAAGATGTTATGTCAAAAAAAGAACTTTACAACTTTGGCTGGGGGGAGTAGGGAGTGGGGAGGAGATGGGAGGGCAGAGATGGTAAGGGGAAACAAAGGAGGAGGCAACATGCTTGATAAGAAATGTACTCATTACCTTGTTCATGTAATTGTAATCCTTCTGTACAGTATTTTCACAATAAAAAAACTTATTAATTAAAAAAAAGGAGAGGGAGTGTGGAAGAGAGCAGATGAAGACTATTACACTAATCCGCAAGAGTAGAACTCAAAGCTACTTTTTTTTTTTTTGGGTCCGGTCATGGGGCTTGAACTCTGGGCCTGGGCACTGTCCCTCAGCTCTTCAGCTCAAGGCTAGTGCTCTACCACTTGAGCCACAGCGCCACTTCCGGCTTTTTTCCTTTTGCTTATGTGGTGCTGAGGAATCGAACCCAGGGCCTCACGCATGCAAGGCAAGCGCTCTACCACTGAGCCACCTTCCCAGCCCCTCAAAGCTACTTTTGTAGTGGGGACTGAGAAGAAACAGTGGGTCCAAGGGGTAATTTTGATGCAGAAATGACAGAAGGTGAGAAGTTTAGGAGAGGAGAGAGGAGGAGGAAGTTTCTAAATGACTTGGCAACTGAACTGTAAGGATTTATTTAGCAAGGCATGGAAATGGAGCTGGTTTCCTGCCCCAGATGGTGATAGTGCAGGCTGAGTAGGTGAGACCTAAATTTCTTGTTCAGCTCTTTCTGATTCCTATGTCAGGATGCATCACTTTTACCTTCCTCCCCCTTGAAAGTAATATTTCTACTGCACTGTCTTCCCTGAAAAGAATCTGTGTGCACTCCTAGGCCTGACCTTCTATCCCATCTATTGCAGGCCCAATACTTGCCTAACCCTCCCCAATAGAACACCTTTCCCCAACAGAACTCTGCCTTCTTTCACAGCCCAGGTTGTGGTCCTAATGGTCCCACAAAGGAAAGAGGAATAGGCTTCTTTTCTATGATTCACATCGTCTCCTTCTCTTCTGGAGCTTTTTCAGGAAGCGGATGCTGTAGGTCCCATGATTTTGTTTTTCAGATTGGTGCTCTCAGGTAAATGCCAAGCTCCTAGCCCAATAGCTGCTGTTCTTCTTGGTGGATTTTCAGAACCAATTTAGGTTTAACCACTTAGCTGGTAGAGAGTGGGGACAAGGAGGGAGAGTATGAAGTAGCAGAAGCCATTCAAAGGTTATCATTATACAGGCCAGTCATTTCTATGGCTTTCCACACGCTCACAGAATTACCAGATTCCAAAGACTGCTATAAGATAATTTATTACAGACTATCCTATAATCTCTTGTAACAGTAGCATATACAATAATTAAAAACAGCAAAAAGGCTTTGTTTCTTCTTTCATGTTTTGGAGGTACAGCTATGGACAATGCTGAGTCCTCAGTAAATTCAGGATGCTGCTATTGAGGAAATCCAAGGACCATGTCACATCTCTGAGCAAGGGCCTGGTAATCCAAGCTGAGTTTGTGTCTGAATCTTCCAAGGAATGTCCAGGCCCACGCTCCATCCAGCTTGTACACAGGTATCAGAGTCCTTGTATCTTCTGTGTGAGTGAGCATCAAAGGGGAATAGCAGCTGATCTCATGACAGAGAGAAAGGCCAAAGGCTAGATTCTTTCTACAAGGAGGATAGCCAGAAGGCTGTGGCCACAGGCAAGGAAAACACTTCCTAGCCTGGTTTCACAATTTTTGGCTTTATTCAGGGCCTACTCAAGAGGAAAATATTCCTGGATACTTCAGCTAGCCCTAATGTCTGTACATATAAGAATACCCTCTCATGTCCTAAGTGGTCACTTTCCTCCCTACAGGAATGAGAACTCTGGGAAAATGTCCCCAGGTTCCTAAGATTAAAGAAATATTCTGCTCAGGGCTCTGAAGCACCATGTGAAACTGAACTAATAACAGATATACTCTGAGGGAAGGGATTAGCATAGCTGTTTTTTAGAAGTTACTTTGTTCACTTTCAAGGCCTTGTTTCTCACTGAAGACAGAAACAGTTCTGCTGAATTCTACTCTGTCTGCTCCTTACTCTGGCCATTATCCAGTATAGATTACAGGGCCCATTAATACCTGTAAGGCTCAACCAACTACCTAGCCAATCAGGCACAAGCTTAAACTCTCTAAACTTGTTCTAATGTGTCTAACTGGATAAATCATGGTTTGTAGAAGGTGTGTGGGGGGAGGGGGGACAGGGCGTGGAGTGGGAAAGGTAACTACCAAGAAGAGCTGACACTCTCAGAAATGTATGTCCCTATTTTTTTTTTTCCAGGGCTGAGGACCGAACCCAGAGCCTTGCGTACGCCGGGCAGGCACCCTTCCGCTGGGCTAAACCCCCAGCCCCTATCCCTATGTTTTTATGGAAAACTTCTCCCCATAGTAGCTTCTGTAGCTCAGCTCCTAGCACCACATACCTGCTAGTCAGTTTCAATGAAAAGCCATACTCTTACTATCCTCAAATTTTCCTTAATATTCTTAGTGAAAGGGTCAGCCTCTCGTCCACAAGGACCCTAATCTGGCCACTCCCATTGGCTTGGATTTGTGTAATTGGTGTCACCTGGTTGGCACTAAGCCAGGAGTGTTCAACTCCCCTCTTCTGTGGATCGAGACTCTGATTTAAGTTTCACAAATTCGCGGGCCACCTCATCATTGCTCCTCTGAGATAGAATCCGAAGAATGGTCATGCCTGTCTCGTCCATGTGGATCTTCCTGCCCAAGGGACACCAGCAGGCACAGCTACCCTTAGTTGCCACATCCCTTAGAGGCATCACTGCCAGCCCTATCACACGATCTTCTCGGGCAAAGCAGTAATCCTTCACACAGATCTGCAACTCATAGGCCTCTGGACCCTCTTCATTTCCAAGGAGGCTGTGAGCACAGGACAGAAGGCAGGAAGCCAGATCTGAAAATCTTCTACTGACTTCATCTCAGTTTGTCATCCAACCCATCCCTCCTTTCTCAGATTGTTCAGCTGCACCTCCCATATCCAACCCAGAGTCCTTCAGGTCTCCCACCCTATAACTTACAAGTGAAATGTTTCATTGTACTTGGGGCTCCAGTTGTTGCTTTTGGACTTGGTTGTGAATTTCCTCTTCTTATCATTTTGGTGTGGGCCAACCATGGTCACTTCCACAAAAGGCCGGAACATACCCGCTGTCTGCCACTTGAGGTCATTGGCAGCCACCACTGCCCAAACAAGGGAAACCAGTGAGGGATCCACCCAGACATTCAAAGTTCTTGAGCCCCAGGTCATATTGCCCTTGGAGGAGGCTAAACTGGAGGACTAGGATGAGTATCCCTTGCTTTAAGCTGAGGAGGCCAAAAACAAGAAAATTTCAGACCTATATGTCCATAATACTCACCTTTCACTGTGACCTTATGTTCCCCAGTACCAGGGTGTGTAAACAAGTCCACCTGAATAGAGACTTCTCCCATAGGATCATCCACACCAGACCCTGAGGACAGACAGATGATGGCCCATTGCAAAACTCCAGGATTTCAGAACTAATTATTCCAGGTAAAACTGAGGGATTGGGTAGCTACCCCCACCCCGCACCATCAATCTAAAGCACGAAGCAATCACCCACCGAAACCACGAGGAAGTAAGCAATGGGAGAAGGAAAGTGAGGAGATAAAGAATAAGGCTATGCATTTTAATACAAATTAAGCTGATAGTATGTCAGAAACATTCTCAAAAAATTGCACTAGGAATCTCTTAGGATCCCCAAACCTCTCCTGTCCACTAGACTGGGGAATTTTTCATTCACAGATATTGGGCAGGTCAGTGCTGTAAATTCTGTATCTATATGGAAGCTATGTCCATCTTGTGATCTCTCTCTGTGTCTCTGTCTGTGTGTGTCTCTCTCTCTGAGAAAGGATCTTGCAATGTAGCCCAGACTGATCTTAAACTTCCTATGTAGCCAAGACTAGCCTCAAATCACAGTTCCCTGGTTTATGATATCTTTTTGTTTGGGGGAGGGAGGTTACGCTGGAACTGGGGCTTGAACTCAGGGCCTGAGTGCTGTCCCTTAGCTTTTTCAATCAAGGCTGCACTCTACCATTGGGGCCACAGCTCCATTTCCAGATTTTTGCTGGTTAATTGGAGAAAAGTCTCAAGTACTTTCTTGTCCAGGTTGGCTTAGAACCTTGATCCTCAGATATCAGCCTCCTGAGTAGCTAGGATTATAGGCATGAGCCACTAGCACCTGGCTTATGATGTCTTTTAATTGAACATTGTGGATCCTCCTTTATCAAGTTCCCTCCCACCATACCCAGGATTCCTGGATGCCCCAGCCTGGGAGGCTGACTTCTCTGGAAAGCCTTTGTATTATTCAAATCTGCAGAACAGCTCTCTAGTCCCGATCTACTAGCTCCTTTCAGCAGAAACTTTACCTAATTAGATTACTCTCATTATAGCCTTTCATTGTAGGGAGAAAGGAAGCCCTGAGGACAGGACAGGACAGGACAGGACAGGACAGGACAGGACAGGACAGGACAGAGGTCAGCAAACAGAATCCCTTTCTAGGCTATATATCATCTAGCTCTGAGACTTAGGATGGAGCTTTTGAACTTTTGACAACAGGTCCAGCCACTGCCTTTATAAGCAACTCATTCTAGCTCACAGGGGTCAGTGATCATGTTAGATTCATGTCTGCAGAATGTATAACATACCCTTTTCCGGCTGAATGTCCTCATTAGCAGTAAACCTAATACCTTTCCCATCATGCACTGAGCGAAGACAGGCAAGTCAAGAGGTAGTAGCAGCAGGAAGACAGAGAAAGAAGAATGGTTAGAGGTCAAAGAAGTTATAGCCATTTAAAAAGCTCTGTACTTTTCTGGGGGAGCAGAGATGAGGCAGAGTGAAGAAAGAAGTCCAAGAACTGGAATAAGTGCCTGAATGTTCCATATTAGACTTCATGGATTTAAGAGCAACCAAATCATTGGCAAAAGCAGTAGAAAATATAGACAGAGTATCTGAGAACAGTGGAGTAAGACAGAGGTTGTAGGCCCTAATTTCCTAGGCTCTTAAGTGACAATAGGTAGGAAACACATATACATTATTCTTTCTGAAAATATAACTCTGTTCTCACCCCCTCTCTGTGCCTTTTTCAGCCTTTTCCTTTCTTCTGTCTATGTTACAGCTTGATACCTCTGGATTAATTTTCTGTATTAATTCAGATTTTCCCTCATGATACACATAGTACATGTACTCAGCTCTGTAAAGTTCTACTTGACCCCTTTAACCAGACTTATTGCTGCTGTTTTATGTTTTGGTTTGATTTGATATTGGGGTTTGAACTCAAAGCTTTGCACTTGCTAAGCAGGTGATTTACTTCTGAGCTATAGCTCCAATACATCACTGATTCTTTTGCAGCCTTTTCCTCCACCCTGGAGCGGATGTAGGAACAGTGGTTCCAGTTTCACATCTCTTGTCACATCCATTCTGCTGCTTAGATTTCTCCCCTCCAGCTCAGTGCTCAATAAGGTCCAAGCCTTCCATTCACACTGTCAGGTTCACACCCCCAGAAAACCCTCCCAGGATTGTCTAGAACAGGAAGTAACTAACATGCCTGAAGGTGCCTCCTAAGAGGACTCTACTGCAGAGTCAGGTAAGAACGTCAGCTCAAGCCATTCTTTACAGATGTGCTTAGTTAATACAGGCCTGGCCAGAGGCAAAGAGAAGTTTGGATGACTAGAAATCCCTAGAACAAAACCAACTGCAAGATCCCTGGTACAAAAGCATCATCCATGAGGTCTTGCAGTCCACTTAACCTGCTTCCATGGTTTGCCTCTTAGTCTTCACCTTGTTCATGCTGAAAAGTCTGGAAGATTTCCCTATTTCTCCCTAAGACAACTACCACTAAAGATTTTTCTTTCTTCTTCCTGCTTACCAGACTGAGTAGACCTGGTAAGCTCAATAAACATGCATGGCCAGCTGATGTTTTCAAAAAGAAATCTCAGGCACATTTACCAGTCACCTGTGATTTTCCTGCCTGATATACATAAGGGATTGGGTAAGTACTGAGGTTCACTCAAGGGATCTTGAGATCCAAGTATGAAAGACACTCTGAAGAAACCAGATTGTCTCCAAGGACTAAACAATACTGACTTCCTAGAAGCAGATGGACAGGGGAGACAGGAATAGCTCTTAGGCTCTTACCCTGAGCAGTCTGTGAGCGCACAAATGTCTTGATGAGAGTGTCCGTGGTCTGTGTGTATAAGGATAGGGCATAACGCAGAGACTGCAGATCTGGGCTCTTCTCTAGGAAGGTTTTCTTTAGTCCATTGCCTCCTGCATGGAAGTATTGCTGAAAGAGAAATGAACACCCGCTTCACCCCCTCAGAGAAGCCAGAAGAGGTTTACAGGAACAGGAGGCTATCTGACAGACAATAAAATCAGGAACATCCACAGAACTAATCCCAGTGCTCTGGATAAAGAGCATCATTGGGTATTTGGCAGGAACAGTAGGAAAGGGCCTTATTCCTGGGGATGATGTTCAGAGGACGGGTTTATTTAGCCAAGTACAGTTATGTGTGACAGATACTTTTTTTTTTTTTTTGTCAGTCATGGGGCTTGAACTCTAGGCCTGAGCACTGTCCCTCAGCTCTTCAGCTCAAGGCGAGTGCTCTACCACCTGAGCCACAGCACCACTTCCGGTTTTCCGATGGTTTATTAGAAATAGGAGTTTCACAGCCTTTCCTGATAGGGCTGGCTTTGAACCACGATCCTCAGATCTCAGCCTTCTGAGTAGTTAGGATTACAGGTGTGAGCCACCAGCACCCAGCTGACAGATACATTTCAGCAAGGGAGAATAGCTTTAAAATGATCTTTTCCCCTTTGAACCTTAGGGAACTTGATGCCTAGGTACCTTAAGTTATAGTTTGCATGGAGCTGACTTATTATTTCCTTACCAATCATAAGTGTCTTGAACTTAGGACAGTATCTGCTACTCTCTGTATCCTTGACAGTGCACATGACCTCTCCTCTAGATATGGAGTGCTAAGAGCCTAAAGCATACCTAATCTGGCAGGGTAGAATTTCAGAGGCCAAGTGTTTACGGTAATAAGATTGCCTAGGAAAAGGAAGATCTTTACCTTGATGGTATCCAGGGCCAAGTCAAGGACAGCACACTGCTTTGGAGTGAGATTACGTGTTTCCTCTCGCACCATGTGGTCCTGAAACCCCAGAGAAAGCAGTAGTATCAAAAGAGCTGAGAGTAGTCAGGAAAATCATGCTCCTACCTGCCAGTCCAGGAATGCATGTTTCTCTCCTTCCCTCCTCTTTAGCCTTCTAGATATCCTCCCCTAGTCTCATAAGGACCCCACACTCCAAGAACCTTGAGTTTGGAAAGCTGACTCAGCTCCTTGGCAGCAGTGAAGATCAGCTGGGTGCCCTAGGTAGAGAGGGGATTAGTCAAAAGCAGAAAACCTCAAACTCCATCAGGAAATGAAGACTTAGGGGCAAGTGGACAGTGGGAATAAGTGGGAGGGAGGTGTCCTTACCGTCTGATCAGTGAGAGGTGGCAGAACAATCATCCTTTCCATGGTATTCATTACCACCCGCCAGAGCTCCTTCAGGACTCGCTTCAGAACAGTCTTCTCACATACAGTGGCGAAGAGTGTGAGGCTGCAGGCCAAGGCAATGGGTGAGGCAGGGGCAAGAGTCTGGGAGGCCGGCCCCTACTAAAAAGGCTGATAGCTTGATAGCCTCTTTGCTTTGCTCACCCCCCTGGGACAGTCCTGAGGATCATACTCACTTGCCATCCAGGAAGTCCATAAGAGGCCTCAGCACACTATCTGCATCCTGAGCCACTGAGGCCCTAGCGTTGGGGGATACATTCCCTGTGCCCCGAACCTGGCCCAGGATGTCGGCCATTTGTCGAACACACTCATCAATCCGCACCTGGAAGCTACACATGTGCTCATAGGGCAGCCCTCCCTGCCCCCCACATTGACCCAGGAGCAGCACCCATCCTTCAGGCCCATTCCCACATTTATGATGTAGCTTCAGTGGGGACAGTCATAGAAGCACATGCAAGAGCTACATACCTGCAGCCAGATGGAAAGGAATGGGATTGGCCAGGGACAATACCCAATTGTAAAAGTTGTGTGCTTGGGGGCCACTGACCTGTTTCCGAACACCATACTGAGTTCATCCAGAACTGTATTCAGTTTCACTTGCAGCTCCTTCAGACTGTCTGCAGCTTCAGGGTCCAGCTGTATCCGCAGGAGTTGAGCATGGCTAGGCTGATTCTCTTGATTCTTTTCTCCTCTATCACTACTTCTCTCTCCTGGGTCCTCACCCCAATCCCTGTTCTTCCTTCCTAGGGCCTCACCCCAACCCTGCTCTTCCCTCTTAGGATCATACCCCAATGCTTGCTCCTCTATCCTATGGCTAATCTCAGATCATGCCAGACCAGACCCCAAGCTAAACTCTGATCAAGAAAGGGTAGAGTTCTATGGTCAAGAAGCTCAGAAATAAAGGGAAGTAGAGTGACAAAAAACCCTAAGACTTACCTCCTTACCTCCCATGGCCTCAAACATTTTCTCCAGTTGGACTCTTAGTTGCTGCATGTTGTTCATCAGGATGCAGGGCTTTGGAAACAGATGTAACCCTTAAGTCTTGGCTCTTTTCATCATAGGCGCCATTAACTTGGGGTACTTCCCTCTCTCATACTATTCCAAAGCTACAGAGACTTCATATATTATATAGGTCTTGTCCTTAGCACTGAGATACGGAACCAAGTGAAGACTAGAAGACTATGAAGACTAGAAGCAAATGTTTTTGCCTTTAAACTGAATGGTAGGTATGCATATATTAATGGTATTACCTTTTATAACTTGTTCTATCTAAAAATTTTTGTTAAAAATAAAACCAGTGGTTGGTTTATGCTTGTAATACCATATTCATCACAACCATCTCAATTTAATAGCTGAACATAGTGGCACATGCCTGTCATCCCAACTGGGCAGAAAGAATATATAGGTGAATCACAGTCCAGCCTGACCTGGACAAAAACATAAGATCCTATCTCAAAAATAACTAAAGTAAAAAAGGGGGGGCTGAGCTACTGTTTAAAACAGTAGAGTATCCACCTAGCATGTGCAAGGCTTGGAGTTCAATCTTTAGTACTGATGTACGTGCACAACCAATCCAAGAACTACCTTAGTAGAGAATGAAAAGTAATAAATTGAGGTTCAAAGGGACTCATTCAAGTACTCATTTTTAGCATGTTTCTTGAGTGTCAAGTAGAGCTCTGGAAGGAACCAGAAGTCAAGAGCATCTCAGAATAGCTTCAAACACAAGAGGATTCACATTCCTTTTCTCTTAAGTGCCCTAGGGCCTGATCTTACCAGTTTCTCCTTTGTACAATAAGCTGGAAAGTCCTTTGATAAGATGTCTGCATACTGCATCAGTACTTTCCCGATGGTCTGAGCAAAGAGGAAAAAAGGAAAGAAGAGAATCTTTAGCTTATCTGAGGTTTCATTTTTCATCACAGAACAATGACATTAAGGAAGCTAAGGTAGGCTCTCACAGGAAACAGCTACATTTCTACCACCCCCCCCCCCCCCGCCTCCCAACTACAGAATAGCACTGAGGGAGACCATCTGTCTACATCAAACACAGTAAAGGGAAAAACAGCAGTACTAGGCTCTTACAAGAAAATTACCACAGAGAGAGGCTGAGCTCAAGTCTGTGAATGTGATGATAGAAAGGGGGAAGCAGCAGGAAGGCTCATGGTTACCTTAGCAAATCTCCTCATGTAGTGAGCAAGGATGCTGGGGTCAGGGCATTCCAACTTCCGGATGATCTCAAAGCTCTGGTTGAGCTGTGTGAAGACATCCACCACAGAACAGGAAAACAGTGCATGCTCTGATGTCTGCTGGAACTAAGGCCAAATACAGAATCAGTATCCATAGCTGCTACCTTTTTCTTAAGCAGATAGGGTCTAAAAGAACTCTGTCTAGTAGGGAGGCTCAGTGGCCCACTAAGTCCTTCCTAAGGACTCTACAGGCAAGGGACAGACAGCCTGGTGAAAGCATAGGCATTTCTGCCAATAGCTAAGTGTTGGGACACCTGGCCCTGGCCCCTGTTCAGCCCAAGGCCTCATCTTACCCCATCTTTCTTATCTCGTTCCAGAGCCCCACGAAGGAATTCCAGGGACACATCCTCATTTTCATCTAGCCACTGGAGTACAAACTGTTCAAACCACCTGTAGTCAGAAAAGAACTGTGGGTTGAAGCTAGAGGTGGGTATATGCTCTGTGCCTGAGAGTTCCACCAGACTGGGATCTTCTGTAAGGCAGGGTATAGTTTGATACTTCTTTCTCTACAACAGGATCCAGACCAGGTAGTTCCAAAAACAAGCCTACTGAACTGTATGGAAGACATAAGTTCCTCCCACCCTTCCACCTACAGTGCCCACATAACTCACGCTGGGTACTCAGGCACCTGCCCCTGGAGGGCAGGCAGATCCCGAACATATTCATTGTGGAGCCACTTCACCTTGAAGTGCAGGTTCATGTAGTCAGCACTCTTACAGAGCCGGCCTTTCTCATGTTCTAGTGAGGGAAGGAAGGCTGGATCAGATCTGAGCAGTAGCTGTGGGTCCTGAGCTTTCCCATGGCAGCAGATCTAGTCAGGCAGCTCAATCAGATACCTTAGAAGACAAGTAACTCCTAACTTCCATTTCATAGCCATCTTTCCACCAGTGCCCTGCTCAGCCATTCTCTCAGAATCTTCCTCTAAAGAGACTAAGATAAAACCTATAATCTTCTAGCTTTAGCTTTCCAAGTGGAAAGGTGAAGAGGAAAAGGGGCTGGGAATACTAATGAGCAGAAGTACTGTCAAAGACTGGGAGGGTTTTCTGGTTAAAAAAAAAATCTTAGTAGCTGAGCCATTCCATGAGATGGGCTTAAATGCTAAGACATGAAGGCAAATACAGAATGAATGGATCAATGACAGTTACACAGAGACAGGGGAAACCAAATAAAAAAGCTCTGAGAAGTTATGTATAACACATTTCTGAAAGAAACTCCAGAGCATACCTGAGACATGGAAAACAAGCTCTCAGGGAAGTATGAAAACAAGGATAGTCAGTTTGGAAGCTATAGAAACACTACCTGACGAAAGGGCCATCATGCTCCAGAAAACTGGACTGTTATTATGGATGTAATAGGTCATTTTGCTGATTCTTGAGGGCCTTCTAGAAAAAATAGGTCTAACATCACTCAGTACCAGCTCAGAGTCTAGAGCACTTGTCATACCTATGGAGTCCATCCAGTCCTTTCCCTCTATATACAAGTTCATTGTGTGTTGCTATACCATAATAGTAATGGCAAACTAATAGGGAGAATACTAAGCAGCAGAGGAGGAGAAGCCAGTTTCCTTGGGGAATCTATTGTTTAACTCTGAGATGCCATGGATGATGCTTCTCTGAATCAAAGTAAAACAGTCTGGGCCACTGACCCTTCCGAGTCAGTGCAGCAATACACTCAGGGAGGAAAGGGAAATGTGGGGTTCAGCCTCAAAAGGCTTTGGATCCCAGGGCTTTCATCACCTGGCTCTCTAGGACCCAGCCCTAAGTTGCACTTGCTGTATCTTCTATGAAGCAGTAAGCAGGAAAAGGTATAAAACTAAAGGCAAAGGACAACAACTAAAAGTTCTTACCACCAGGAAAGAGGACTTTTCGAATACGAATGATAGTGGTTGCTTGTGACAGAGCAGAGACACCAATGAGCAACAACGGGTGGAAAATCAGGGATGTTAGAGAGACCCTCTTCTCCACCCCTTCCCCTGCAGTCCTAGAAACAAAGCACCACCACCAAGAGCACCATCCATCCTCTTTCCTGTTCAGCAACCCCCATGACTTCAGAGTTCCTCTTTTCTTCCAAGTAACATATAATTCTCTGTCAATCCATTATCTGTCCTCAGACCTCAGGCCCAAATTTCCACACTAAACATTAACATCTGTGGTTTAAACACCAATGAATGCTGAGAGACCGGTTATGCTTTATTCTAACTAGTCCCAAGGAGTTATGTTCCAGCAAGGTTATACGTTATTGTTGGTGGTGGTAGTGAGTGTTTCCATAACCTCTTGCTCTTGACTTCTGCTTTTCTTCCTGCATCTTTTATCATTGGAGAGTTCTTTTAACCTCCTGATTTCAACTATCTAGTTTGAAATCTTAATCTCTCTAGGGTTCTGATATTAGAGGTTTAGATGGAACACTTACTTCACTGTTGCCTAAGTTTAACTTGAATCTCTATCACTCACCATCTTAACATCGCTGGTAATGTTGAACAGGGTATGCTGACTAGTCTTATCTTCTTGTTCAGTGCTGAGATTTATCATAAGATTTTCTTTCTTCTTCTATATCCACTTATGTCCCCCCAAATCCTCTGGAATCTATCCAATTCCTTCTAGCTATACTATTTACTGCCTAAGTTTCCTTACCACATCTCTAACCTAATCTACTCTGATTATTCTCCCTTCAATACATTCTCCACAGTGCACCCATAGTAAGTGGCCTTTGTTTATGATGAATCAGATCATGTCAATCCATCCCTTAACGTGTAATTGGCTCTCAATTGCTTCACAGTGAAGTCCAGAAGCCTAAACCTGGCTTAGACCTCCTTCATGATCTGGCTCTGTCATAACTCACCACCCACATCTCTTACTGACCATTTTTCCTGCTCTCTGAAGTGCTGGTCACACTAAATTGCTGTTTTCATTTCTCTAAACAAAAGACATTCTGCACACTCTGCATGAAATGTTCTGTCTCCTTTTGCTGCCATTACTATCCTCCATTCTCACTCTGGGCCTGAGAGTTCTTATATTTTCTTAGCAACTAATGTTTATTTTTTATGGCATTTAAAAATTGTAGTTTCTAGATTTGTCTGAACTTTTCAAGGGTTGGGGCTATACTTTATTCATCTTAGTGGGGAGCCAACAACTAGTACAATACTTAGCATAAAGAAAATACTCAAGAAACAGTGATTGACTGCAAAGGAGCACTGGGGAACTTCTTGTTTCATATTTTAGTTGGGAGAGTAGTTTCATGTATTTTATTTTATATGTTATAGTCCAATAAAGTTGATATAGGAAATACTAGGTGAAGAACAGCATTTTCTTTAGTTTTTAAATGGCTTTCTTTCATTTTTGAGGCATGGTCTTGCTACATAGCCCATTCTGGCCTTGAGCTCTTGATCATCCTGCCTCAGCCTCCCAAGTACTAGGTTTATAGACTTGTACCACAATGCCTGGCTGAGAACAACGTTTGCTTTTTATTATTTTTTGTGCAACTGGGGTTTGAACTCAGAGCCTTGGACTTGCTACGCAGGCGTTCTACTACTTGAGCCAAGTCTATAGCCCTTTCAAAGTTATTTTTTAAATATGGTCTCACATTTTTTCTTGGGCTAGCCTGGACTCCAATCTTCTTGTTTATTGCCTACAGCATAGCTGGGATAACAAGCTCATACCAACATGCCCAGCTTATTTGTTGTGAGGGGTCTTGACAACTTTTTGCCCTGGCTGGTCTCAAACTGTAGTTCTCCAGATCTGAGCAGTTGGGATTATAAGCATGAGTTTCTGTGCCAGGCCAGGATAACAGTTTCAACTTTTCTTTTCACAATCAAGTTAATATTGTTATATCATTCAGGACCCCAAGCTTCTCCCCTCAACTTGCTCTTCATACTCTCAGACTAACTAGGTTTTGCTACAACTTTACAGTAGCTATCATAGCTCATTCTTCCTTCTCCAATCCCTAATATAAAACAAACTGGTTTTTGTTTGTTTGTTTTGGTCATGGGGCTTGAACTCAGGGCCTGGGCAGTGTCCCTGTGCTTTTTTGCTTAAAGCTAGTGTTCTACCACTCTGAGCCACAGCTCCATTTCCGGTTTTCTGGTGGATGAAATAAGAGTCTCACACACTTTCCTGCCTAGGCTGTAGTTGAACTATGATACTAAGATCTCAGCCTCCTGAGTAGTTAGGATTACAGGCGTGAGCCCCCAGTGCCTTTTACTCAAGACTAGTGCTCTGAACCACTTGAGCCACAGTTCTATTTCTGGAGATGAGAGTCTCATGGACTTTCCTGCCTGGGCTGGCTTTAAATCACAATCATCAGATCTCAGCCTCCTGAGTAGCTAGGATTACAGGCATGAGCCGCTGATCCTAGCTAAACAATTTATTTCATGCATTCTCTAGTTCTATCTCTCCTACTTCTAGCTGTACCTCTCTTCCACTGTGGAAAGATTTTGTTAAAATTGTATTTTTTACATGGTATTTCTGTCTATAGTGGCTTCTTCTTGCTTTTAATAATTAAGATTGTATTCAATACCCTGGATAAATTGTCAGGTAGTATTCTTACTGTGTTTTACAGATCACAGTTTCTTATCAGTTCAACACAATAATTCATCACTCCATTTTACAGATAAGTAAATGGAAGCTTGTAAAAATTAAGTAGTTCAGTCCAAGGTCACAATGCTAAGTGGTAAAACTGAAATTTGAGACCTAGACATTTGTTTCTTGTTCTTCTCTCTCCTCCTTTTTCTTTCCCTTCCCATTCTCCTTTCCTCCCTCTTCCTCTCTCCCCCCTTCCTCTCCCTTTCTTTGGTGCCCAGTACCAGAGCTTGAACTCATTCAACTTATTCGCTCATAGCTAGTGTTCTACCACTTGAGCCACACCTCCAGTTTGGCTTTTTGCTGATTAGAGATGAAATCTTTTGGACTTTTCTGCCCAGGTTTGTCTTTGATGAACCACAATCCTCCAGATAACAGCCTCCTGAGTAGTTAGATTTACAGTGTGAGCCACCAGTGCCCAGCTTTGTTCATTCTTCTAAGGCAGTTTTTTACTCTTTTGTGTGTGTTTGTGTGTGTGTGTGTGTGTTTGCTTTAAACATTAGCGAACTCTCTTTTCAAAAGATATCTTACCTAGAATTCCATTTAAGATTGTTAAAGCAAGCTGACTTTGTTAACACCAGGTAAAGAGCTGAGTCTAGACTTCCCCTTTTAACTTAACTTCTGAGATATTTGTCTAAAAAAAAAACCTCTGCTCTGCTCTGCTCTTCCTTACATAACCCTTCCCCTTTGTAAAACTGATTAAATTTTCAGGGGTATTCATCCTTTTCTCCAAACCCACTGTACATGTTCTTTAAGAACCACAACCACACTCCCCAGTTTGGTGAATGTAACCTCATCAAGGTAAGGGAAGCCAGGTAACCTCCTCACTGATCTGACAGGCTAATGTGTGGGCTAAAGTTCCAGGTGAATCCAGTGTCAGCAGGACTCAACTACAGCTCTGAGATTGAATTTCAGAATCTACATGTATAGTCTGTGGCTATCACAAACTTAAGCATACATTTCTTTCAATCTCAAGAATCACTGTTTCTAAACCTCCCAAGTTTAAGCCCGAAGGCTATTCCTCTATACTCACATAAGATCCAGACTCTACTTTGTGCTTGCCCCAGATGGTTCTTCCTCTTTCTAGATCTACTTTCTCAGACTGAAGAATTATACTAACATATATAAACAGACCCCCAAAATTCAGCTAAATAGCACAGATGGGTACAGGTCTGACATAGATAGGGAGTGATGTTTGTGGAGCAAGGTGGGAAATGAAAAAACAAAGATGAATGAACAAGATGAATAATAATGTATCTGTAGCCCTGCTCTATAGTAAGGAGAGGGATATTTGGCTTTGCCACACTAATTCACACAAGCTTTCAAAGAAAGCCAGGCTAGTCAATCTCTAGCATGAGGAAATTACAATATTTATCTCTATATTTAAGTTTCTCTGACTTTTCCCCCCTATATTGAGGTTTGAATTCCTTGTGCTTCCAAGGCACACTTTACCACTTGAACTATGCCCCCTTCCCTTTTTGCTCCAGTTATTTTTCCAATAAAGTCTTACTTTTATGTTGGATTGGACCATAGTTCTACTATTTATGCTTCCCACATAACTACAATGACAGGCAAATGTCACTTTGCCCAGCTTTCACTGGTTGAGATGGGCTCTTGCAAACTTTTTGCCAGGGCTGACCTCAAACTGCTATCCTTCCAATTTCTGCTTCCCAAATAGCTAGGATTATAGGCATGAACGACTATTCCCAGTCATCTCTGAACTATAAAGGTAAGTTTTATAAGAACACTCTCTAAGATTTGAGCCACCATCCTAAGAATGCTCACCAGAGGAGAGGTGATCTCCGACTTGGAAAGTCTTGAATAGGTACTTGTTCTACAGCTGGAAGAACCTACATTCATATAGCCATTTCCATTATTTCCTTTGGTGCAACTTTCCATATCCAAGGCCTCCTACCATGGCAAGGATCCCTCTAGTTTCTCACTGCACCATTTACCCACAACATGTAGTTATCTGGAGCAAAAGGACAGTTTTCAAGGTACTTGGGCAGACCCTTACCTTCCAGTGCGTATTTCATGTCTTGGGAAAACAGATGCCACATCACTTCTGCACTTACTTTTCCCACATTCAACTCTTGAGGAAACCTGGATGGTGGGAGAAAACACAGTCAGAGAACAAGGTAAGAGCCATTTATTTGTTTCGACTTTTTCTAAGGTACTTAGTTCTTGGAAGTCATATTGAGGAAAAACTAGGGAAATGAGCTGGGCTCAAATGGAGAAAAGGGGCCCAGGGTGACAAGTAAGGATATAGGGGTCCACTTAGGCATGATGGGCCAATGGGGAGAATGTCTAGAAGGCAAGGCATTGAGGGTGAGAGGAGGGGAAGGTTGGGACAGGTCTAGGTAAAATAAGCTGAAGGAGGGCAAAGGACTAGGCTTTATGAAGGCCCACTTTATTCAGAGTGGACAGACACATGCACACATAGTCTCTGGATCTTCTGGGGGTTCTATAGTAGCCACAGTCCCAGAAGCTTCTCACTCCCGAGAGGCAGGCTCGGTCAGGCATGCGCCCTCCATTATATTTCCACACCTGTCTCCAGAAACAGTTACCCAGACAGATACAAGGGACAGAGGGACAGATGGACGGACAGTTGGAAGAGGTGGCACTGCAAACATACAGAGATAGGAAAGAAAGAGGCTGTTAGACAGAGAGACAGACCAATCACTGAACAGACAGGATCAAGTAGAGTGATACTCACTGGTTCAGAACAGGTGTATAGGAATTCTTATCTTCCTCTATGATTGACACAATGAGTGTAATGAGTTTGGGCCAGAAATCTAGGTTCTGAATGCTGGGTCCTTGTTCCTCTGGAGGTAGCTCCTGATTCTTGTTCCAGAGGAGATCAATGAGAGAGAGACACAGTAAGTCAGGAGAGAATTGGAAAGGATCTCACGTCTTTCTCTTTTTCTTCTCTTATACATGCTGCTTCCTCTTGAATCAGAGACCCTTTCACTACTAGAAACTGTTTTCCACAAGACTGCCTCTATTCTTTGAGAGGGAGGATAATTAAGAGGTCCTTTATCCCTTGAGAACTTCCCTCCCCAGCTTGGGACACTGATCTGATGAGGTTGGTCAGCTAGGAGTTATACAGACGCTCATTTTCCTTACTTCTTCTCTCAGTTGCTATGGGTATATTCCCTGACTGAAATTAGCACTGTTTAACCTCATTAAGTAGGTCTGATTCCATGTGACCCACACAGGTTGCCCTTCTCTTGCAGTAGTGTTCTTCAGATTCCTTTCCCTACTTAGCACTCAAATACATTCCAGCTCTGAAAAGCTCCCTCACATTCTGCTACTGAACAGACCTTATGTGCATTTTGGCCTTTCAGCAATATAGGACTTCCCTGCACTTCCTGAAGTTCACTTGGGAGAAGAACTGAACTTAGAAAGCTATTTAGCTAGCTGGACAAGAAATGACTCTGCTTAAGAAGAGGCAAGGGAAAACAATGGTAGATTTTAGAAAAAGAGGAACCATTCCACATTTAGATTCCATACTAGATAAGTTATGGTCACCATAGACATTGAATTAGACATTATCTCCTATTTGTTTAAAAGCAAAGGTGAAGCTGCCTAGAGGTACAGGAATAGTGCTTGTGTGTGGATGCCTACATTCTGTGACTTCTACCACCTTAATATCACTCAAATGAATCTTTTCATTTTACTTTTTCTGGCACAATCCTGACTGAAGCTCTTGTCATTTAAGGATCCCTTTAGTCTTTAAATCTTTTTTGTTTAGTTATTTTTGTTTTTGTTTTGTTTTGAGACAGGATTTCACTCTGTAGCCTAATCTGGCCTTGAACTCACATCCTCCTGCCTCTTCCTAACACATGAGGATTATAGTGTGTACCACCATACCCACATTGGATCTCCTTGATCTTTGAATTTTAATCCAATACCTTTTCCAGGAAATTGTCACTGATTTTTCTATAAGGAAAATCTCAAAGTGCTACTCCTCTGCATAAAGCTCTTCAATGTCCTTCAATGCTCTTCAATTAAGCTCTACAAAATGGTCTTTCAGAAAATGACCTCTCTCTCAACCTCATGCCCAGCCACTTTGTGTTGCAGCAAGCACCACCTCACAATCACCACTGACTGTGGTGCCAGGTACTCTGCTAATAATAATGTTGAATACTTTATTTCAATTGATCCTCATAATAATTGTATGATTAGAAGTCATCACTTAAGGACAGCAAAGTTATGTGGTTTGTCTAAAGTTATGTGGTTTATCTAAAGTTATGTGTCTGTAAATAGCAGAACCAAGATTTGATCCCAGATAAAAATTCCAAATCTAATGGTACAAATGCCCTTATAAAAAAAAGTTTATGGCCGGGCGCTGGTGGCTCACGCCTGTAATCCTAGCTACTCAGGAGGCTGAGATCTAAGGATTGCGGTTCAAAGCCAGCCTGGGCAGGAAAGTCCATGAGACTCTTATCGCCAATAAACCACTAGAAAACCGGAAGTGGCACTGTGGCTTAAGTGGTAGAGCACTCACCTTGAGCTGAAGAGCGCAGGGACAGCGCCCACGCCCAGAGTTCAAGCCCCAGACTGACCAAAAAAAAAAAAAAAGTTTATGGCTGGGTGCCAGTGGCTCACACCTGTAATCCTAGTTACTGAGGAGGCTGAGATCTGAGGATCATGGTTCAAAGCCAGCACGGGCAGAAAAGTCTATAAGACTCTTATCTCCAATTAACCACTACAAAACTAGAAGTGGTGCTGTGGCTCAAGTGGTAGAATGCTCGCCTTGAGCTGAAGAGCACAGGGAATAGCGCCCAAGCCCAGAGTTCAAGCCCCACAACCGACAAAAAAAAAAAAAAAAGTTTATGTTATCCTAAACTAACATACTCATGCACAATTCTGTGTCTCCAAACATTTTTTTTTTTACTACATGATATTCATACCCATGTTACTACCATTTCTTTAGTTATTCCTATTTCTTCCTCAAAATCTTCTCTGAGTTTCCCCTGATATCTCTAGTCTGGTTAGTTGTCTTTCTTCTGGGCATCTCAAATGCTCAGTTTGTTAAATATTGGATAGGCAAATGAATAAATTAGGTCAATGAATGAAGGTCAGTAGATGGAAATGCCAAAAACAACAACCAACAGGGTTTACTACAGTGTAAGTATGGAACAATAAGAAAATGAGATTGAGAGGCTTATCAAAATAGTAAGGCTAATAAGTAAGAACAAAATTAGTTCATTTGCAGGGAAATGGATAGACCTACAACAAATCATGTTAAGCTAGGCCAAGATCATAGACACAAAGGACATATGTTTTCTCTCATATGCAGAAGCTAGATCTAAAATACACTGGGACATGATAAACTGTACAGGATTCTAGGTATCCACACACAGTAAGGTCAAAGGGGAGGAACACAAAGGTGCATCATCATACAAAATAATATTTATCAAAATGAACTCCAGGTAACGCAAATGAGGTTTTATTCTTTGTTGCTGTTTTCATTTTTTCTTATTGTCTTGTTTCTTCATTTATCTGTCTTTGGAAATGCAAGGGGGTACAGAAATGGAGGGACAAAGGGTAAACAAATGCAGCGGTAGCATTCACTAGACAATATGTTGAAAATGAGCTAATCAACTTGTGGGTGGGAAGGGGTGGGGAGGGAAAAACTAGGAGAGAGTAAGAGAAGGGGTGACATTGTCCAGAAAGAAATGAAAATGTACTCTTTACATGACCTATGTAAATGCAACCCCTCTGCATATCACCTTTGTAATAACAATAAAAAATTAAAAAAATACTAAGGCTGAAGCAAGTTATTGAATGGTTTGTAAGCCTTATTATATTCTCCTGCTTGGGCAGAGACCAAATATTCAAACAGACCCCTGAGCATAGTTGAAAAATCAAAGATGAACGTGTCTTTTCCCAACCAAAGAGAATCCATAGATGGTTGAAAGGAGCTCAGTATGTAACAAGCAAAATAAAGGCTCCACGAAAATTTCTCATGGACATCAGAATCAATGGAAAGTTATATAACCTTAAAAGGAAAAACTGTTAAATATTTGGTTAGCACAAAAAATATGTTTGGGAATGGGCACAAAAAGTACATTTGGGAATGAGAAAAGGCAGCATAAACAAGACTTTACTAAGGTGGTTCTCAGAAAGCATTACAGATTGTATGTATTAACTCAAAGATAGATGTATAATAGATTCTTATCATTTTATCCTACTGTCTTTCCAGGTCTATCTCAAATATTCCTTGTTTTATGTAGCTTTTCCCATTAATTGATCAATAGTGACTTTATCTTCCTTAGAATCTCTTAAGTCGCATCTCCTTTTTAGGGCCCTTCTAACAGACTATTTTGCCATGAAAATATAGACTTACTGAAGTGGCATTGTTGCTTTCCTTAGACCTGACCTAGAGTATTCAACATATTATTTGTTGGATTAAAGGAAAGCTATGCTTTAATGATATTCTTAAGAAAGGGATGGTAGGGGAAAAACAAAGGAGGAGACAACAATGCTTGATAAGAAATGTGCTCTTTACTTTGCTCATGTAACTTAACCCCTCCTCTGTACAGTATTCTCACAATAAAAAACTTATTTTAAAAAAAGAAAGGAACTAAACTGTAATTGGACAGAGAAGAAAATCCTGACTTTGAAATGAAGGGAGGAGTATATATTATTAGAAGGAACTAGAAAAAGCGATCTATTAAGTCACTAGATACCAAATTAGGATCCTAGCCTAAAACAGGTAAAATGGTTCAGCCTCACAGGAGAGGGTCACTCTTGAAAGTCAACTGGTTAAAATATTTCAGAAGATTATGCACATAGAGAGAAGTGATTAAAAGGAAGAGTTAAACTTTCCCAGCCAGAAGCTCAGAGATAGCTACAGATCTGAGAGTTAGGCAGCATGGTATTCATAGGGATCCATATAAGTCAGAACAAAACAAACCTTGAGCCTGAGAGGACTGGGAAGGACTCGGAATTTCACTACTCAGCCACCAAACAATGCAGAAACTTATCATTGTTCTTTCTATTCTACCCAGGTATGTTACATTTTGTCCAAGGGTCGCTGTTAATCTGCAAATGTCTCACATATGAAACAGATGATCAATAGTCCATAACCCATTCACCCTTGAGAACATCAAGGACTTTATCTTGAGATCTTTTCCACCATAACCCTAGCAAAGATAAACTGAGGTTCCAGAGAGCCAGTGTCAGCTGGCCCCACCTGCTCCTAAACTTCTTACCAGCTGGTATTGGTGGCTGTATAAATCATGGCAGTTATTGAAGATATACTCATATGTAGAGTTCAAACAAGCCTTCACACAATCCTTTACCACCTGGCTGGCTCTTGGAGGGCTCTGCAGTTCTTGTACCTGCCAATTAATATGAAAAAATACAGGCTCAGGGTTCTGCTCACATGGACAGGGTATCTTACTAGTACTTCCCTAAACCTGCACCAGATTCTTTCATGCCTTTTTAAGTTCCTATGCCTTTCTTTGCTATGAAACTGCTAGAATAGCGGATGGGAAGAACTTCTAGTCTATCTTCATTAGCCTACAATTTATGAGTTTTCTTGAAAGTAATCTAGGGAACAGGTGTATGGAAATGGGAGCTTAGTGGTGATGAATCCGTAGCCTCAGACTATTCTCAGTGACTCTTATTGTCTGTGTTCCTGAGACCAAGTTTTCAGCCCAGTACTAGCCAGCCTGGCCCATCCTTACCTTCATTCTAAAAAAGGTGATGCTAGTCAACAAATCCACTGTAGATTTTAAATCCTGAAGCCTCTCAGGGCTTCCAGCAGGGAAGTTATTCTGTTGCAAATTAAATAAATGTGAGATAGGATCAGAACAATATGAAAACTTTTCCTGCCAAAGCAATGAAATCAAAAGCTACCCTGACATCCTCACTATAATTCTACTTCTCAAGCAATATGATCATTTGTTCAGTTCTCCCCCCCATCCCCATGAAGATTCTCCACAAAATGAGTTCTTAAAAATTACAATTAATTGTATATACTTGAATATAAGTGAAGTTATACTATAGATCAAATGAAGATAGAATACCCATATTTTTCATATACCCTATCTCTTCTAGGTTCTAGAGCCAATAGATAGCAGAGCTCAGTAAAACTTCTTTGGAATGCATTCCTAAGGATTTTGGTACATGCCTTACTTTATTCCCTTAGGCATAGATTTTAGGGGGAAGCTGCCATGAAGGGAAACATTGAGCTATAATCCATTTGGTCAGTTTTTAAGCCTGCAGATAGCTATGTATATGCATTATTCATATAAATGGAGGACATGGGCATACAATGGAAACTTCTTTTTTACTTTTGATCTTGTACTTAATTTTTAATATGCATATATTGTCTGTTCTGGAATCTCACATTTTAAGTAAGCAATGATACCATTCTATGAAGATCTAACTTAGGAGCTAAGAAACTGACCATTTCCTTATCCTGTTCACCTCAGATACCCACTGCCTTACTACTACTATTTCTTCCCTCCATGATAGAGAAGGACATAACCTCTAATACAATTTACTTGCCAAAGACATTATACTCTTTTATCTAGATTCTCATACTTCTTTAGAAAATGAGAATAGTATACAAAATAGAAATGTAACTATTTAATTTTTAAAATTTTTATATTTATCTTTCTTAAGTATCTAATTTTTAAAATGATACTTTTGGAAGAGATTATCCTCAGTAAGCTCCCAAGGGAAAATGCCATTAGAGAGTTTGGCAGAGTAACAAATGGTTTTGGAAAGCCAAATTTCTATTAAAAACAGTCACATCTGCCACTTATATGTTTATATTCCTTGAAGATAGGAAAATCACAGGTGACAGTGGCAGTAGTCAGTCAGGTAGATGTGATGACAGGTCAATTTTCTTTGTCTTTGATATTATAGCAAGGATGGGCCTATGCCTCCCTAGACTGAGCTTGATATATTATCCCATTCCACAGCCATATCTTCACTTACTCTATATGTAGAGAGGTCAATCCGCAGTGAGTTGTGGAGCTGGTCCAGCAGTTTAACAAATCTCTCTTTCTGAGGATTAGAAACAATAGGGAAGAGAAAGATGACAAATTTCTGAGCCCTCTAGACTACAGCAGAAACTGAACTACTTCTTTGTAAGTATAAAAGATACAGAGGAGACATGTGGCTGGCAATATATCCTATACAATTCTTGTCCATTGCAAGAACAAGGAAATAAGATAGGTCCCATTTCTTAGCAGCTCTGTCTCAAACTTGGAAATCTTTTCACACTGACAAGGGGAAAGTCAACTCCCTAGGAAGGGAAATATCTCTTTCTATACACACTTCTCCATCTCTTCTATATATGCATCTCCATCCCTTTGTGACTATAACTCAATTTAATCAGATAAAAGGGAATCCAAAAACACATTTTCAAACTTGCTTCTGAGTCTGTGCTACTTATCCTTGGGTTTATCCTTGATTTATCATCATTATAGTTTTATAGACACAGTCTAGCAGTGATGATGAGAGGGAAAAATAGCAATGCATTTTCCAGTGTGTGGACTATTTTCCTTTTCCAGGGTGTGTACTTCCTTGGATTGGTCAGATAGACATGAAAGATCTCTCTTTAAACCAGGAGTAGGGAGCCCTTTTTCTACTTATATATCAAAATATTAGAAAAAAATACAGTCAGGGCTATTTGTACATTTATAACATCATTTATGGGCCATGAAAATTACCAATACAGGAATATGGCCATGAGTAGCCAACAAGAAGCAAACAAGAAGCACGTGTCTGTCCCATTAAGAACTTTATATAGCCTGAGGGTCAGACATTCCCTACCCCTGCAAGTTTAAACCAAGATGCACATAACTTTCCTTAGTGTAGATATTAAATGTGGAGCTCTGGACCTGCAAGTTGTGCCTTTAAGATTGCTATGTAGTCTTAGAACTTATATACTAGGAAGTGGCACTGTAGTTCAAGAGGTAGAGCGCTAGCCTTGAGCTGAAGAGCTGAGGAACAGCGCTCAGGCCCAGAGTTCAAGCCCCATGACCGACCAAAAAAAAAAAAAAAAAAAAAAAGAACTTATATACTAATTATATCATTGACTAAATCAATGCATAACGGGATAAGACAAAATGGAACCAATATTCTACTGACTTAATCAATTATGTTAATTCATGTATGTAAAGATTTCATCATCAACAACAAAAGCAGGCCCCAGAGGCATAGTAGATTGGGCAGATATCAGTAATTTTAAACCTACAAAAATAAATAATTTTTATGGTGTGTCAGAAATATTTCATTCATTTTATATAGAATTCTGCATAATGTCTCAACCTCTCAGCTACCTTAACACCAGGAAGTACACACCCTGGAAAAGAAAAATAGTCCAGACATTGGAAAAGGTTCAGGACACACTGGCATCTTGGCTTAGACATCGATCTCATATGAGCCTAAGTGGAATAGAGAGGCTGAATAATATTAAGAAAGATCTGTAATTGGACCTGCAAGACTGAAGGACATTTTTACTCAACCAAATTGTTGGCCCAAAGAGGGTCTGCCCAAGCAGCAACCCTTAAACCAGTGGTGCTACTATTTACCAGTGTCTGAGAAGAATCTATTAGTAGGCTACATATCTATGAAGAAAGAAAGTTAATCTGTTAAGTTTGTAACAATCAGTCAAGTCTAAAGAGCCATCCAGAACATAGCAAACATTTTAACTGATAACTAATATGTACATATGTGTTTCATCACACTCACCCCAAAGTTTGAGGCTGCAAAACGATCAGATGCAGAGACATTGGTGGAGGCAGTTGTGTGGGCATAGTAGGCATTGATGTTGGCCAATAAAGTACTCATCACGGCTGGCACACCAGGACACATATATTTTGATGACAAACATGCAAAGTGCCTGAAAAATACAGTATCTTCATTCTTAAAGACTTTGCACCTGCGTGCCAGTGGCTCACGCCTGTAATCCTAGCTACTCACGAGGCTGAGATCTGAGGATCATGGTTCAAAGCCAGCCCAGGCAGGAAAGTCTGTGAGACTCTTATCTCCAATAAAACCACTAGAAAACTGGAAGTGGTGCTGTGGCTCAAGCGGTAGAGTGCTTGCCTTGAGCTGAAGAGTGCAGGGACAGCACCCAAGCCCAGAGTTCAAGCCCCACGACAGACCAAAAAAAAAAAAAAAATACTTTGCAGGCTTACAGAAAAAAACAAACAGATCAATGAAGCACAGTCAAAGCAATCGCTACCCAATAGTTACACAGGGATCCTTCCTGTATTACAGATCCAGGCACAAATTCACCAACAGCCATATCTCCCAGAAGTCAGGAGTTTCTGTTATGTGAGTCTTGACAACTCCAGAGAAGGTATTTTTCCCTACAGCTCATCTGCCATCTGACTCTCGGGCCAGTCTAAGTCAGCCTGTCAGTCATGCACACATGTGTACTCATTTATATGAGCACATGCATGTCCTGTCTGATCTGGGCATGTGCATCTTTGTATACTCTTTTATGCCCTATTCCTTTCCTACTCTTGACCTTAAACAGATAAATAAATACTTCTCCCTAAGTTACTGACAAACATTCACTTTCTATAAACACTGTCTTTATCTTAGAAAGAGCATAGATCCACACACTCAGTTCAGAAGAAAAAAAGGAATCAATAAACACTGCCTGACTAAGCACTTGTCTGCCATAATATGTGCCCCACCTCATTATTCTTCCCAAGAATTAGTAGTCATTTCCCAGATCCCTAGGGGAGCCTTACGTCATGGCCTGGTATATGGACTCGATGCCATAGCGCATGGCAAACTCATCCACAATTTCTTGGGCTGTCTCATCAAAGTAAACCTTCCATGCATCATCTCCTCGAGCCTCAGGGATCCGGACTACTCCACTGCCTTGAATGTCTGTGAGGAAATGGAAAAGGTTCTGCAGAATATAGAGCAAAGAAAAGGAAAGCATTAAAAAAAAGAAGAAGAAAGAAAAACAGCCAGGAATGGTAAAGCAGGCTTATAATCCCAGCTATTTGGTAGGCTCAGCAAAGGTTGAGACTAGCCTAGGCAAAGTTAGTGAGACCCTGTCTCAAAACAAAATTAAAAAATAAAGGGTTGGAGGAATCATTCAAGTGGTAGAGTATTTGTCTAGTAAACCAAGGCTCTGGGTTCAATCCCCAATACCACAGGGAAAGGAGGGAAGGGGAAGAAAAGAAAATAGATAGGGAAGGAAGGAGATAGAAGGAAGACAGTGAGAAACTGAAGGTAAAGTTCAGGAGAATTTAAGATTCTGTTGAAACATTGTCTTTAAAATCACCGCTCAGTTCCTCCTATAGCCCTAGTAGGCTGTTCTCACACTAATGAAAGTCTGAGCTCAGTCTCTCCGGCTGTCCAATGTAGCACAATGAGCCAAGGATAAAACAAAAAGAGGTTCCAGATTTCCAGTCACCTCACAAGCAACCCTGCTTATGGTCAAGTGTCCTTTTCTGCTTTCTTCCTCACTACCCTCCTTGCCTACACCCACCTGCAAACGGCTTGCTCACCTCATGGAGACATGTATACTGCACATGGTATGGGGCTACCTTCTCCTCTCCCTTGATCTCCACACTGATTTGTAGTCGGATAGCCCCTGAGACAGCTGACTTGTCTGTCCTTTTCTCTAGGAACAAAAGAAGACTGGAGATTGACACCAATGCAACTATATATGGTACATCTGTAGACAGTCCATCTGTACAGACAGTCCATCCTGGAAAGAATGGCATTCAAGGAAAGAATGGCACCCACCCAAATGACCACATACTCCATAAATACTCCTGTACTGTCTGAGTGGGGGAACAGGAGTGCTAAAGGCAGTCGTGATAAAGATGAAGACTGAAGGGCCTTCTAAAGCTGGAGAATGTGCAAGCCTGAATGAGTTATAGCCACCACCACTCGTCCCTACTCATGGCCAGCTATCTGAAGGTAAGATAGGCTATATATAGAAATATGCTTTACTGATTGGCATTTTTGGTAAATAGAAATTTTCCCAGTCCCTCTTCATGATCTCCCTCATAAACAACTTTTCCTGGTTCAGTTTTCTCACCCAGATTGTACCAGACATCCATCTCGCCACTCAGTGTCCGAACCTCAATGATAGTTTGGCCGAGAAAATCATCAGACTCTCGCTTTAGCCGCTGTTTTACTTTGGACTTGATATCATCATCTTCATCCCACACACGTACCTTAATGCGGTCGGAAGAATTGTGACACTCACTGTGAGAGAATTAGGCAGACTTTGTTAGGGACAGATCCAACATAATTCACTCTAATTACTTCCAATTTCCTCACAAAAAACTTCATCAACTATACTTGAAAAAGGAGGAGTCGTCAGTGGACAGTAGTACTAAAATTCCAAATGAGTTAGGCTATTCCAGCAAAGGCCTCTCCATTCTTTAGGGGTGAGGAGAGGAATAAATAATTAGGGTCAGTTCTGGCTTTCCTATGCAGCTAGCTATACCAGCAATACTACAAGCTGATACACAGAGCTCCACACAGCTCCAGGAAGCAATTGCTAGCTTCCTTTTCAGAATCCGCAATATAAAGTCAGAAAAGACTCAAGATATTCCTAGTATGTCCAACTGGTCATATCTACTTAGCTTTCTAATTTCTCCATCTAACTGTGTTGGTGGATTTCTATTACACTTCAGTATATCCTTTTTTTCTTTCTCTCTTTTTTTTTCCTTTTTCTTTTTTGGTCGGTTGTGGGGCTTGAACTTGGCCTGGATGTTATCCCTGAGCTCTTCAGCTCAAGGTAAGCATTCTACTACTTGAGCCACAGTGCCACTTCTGGTTTTCTGGTGGTTAATTGAAGAGTCTCATGGACTTTCCTGCCTGGGCTGGTTTTGAACTACGATCCTCAGATCTCAGCCTCCTGAGTAGCTAGGATTACAGGCATGAGCTACCCGTGCCCAGCCAACTATTTGCTTGAATGGCCATTTCCTCTCTGGTATTTGCTTTGGAGAAAGGAATTGTCAGGTCTCCTGCATGCTAACCTCCCTACAGTTATTTTCTGGATCCTGCTTCCTCACTCAAAAGTTGAACTCAATAACTCCGTTATATTAACTGCTCATTTCCCTATGTTCTTTTTTTTTTTGTCAGTCGTGGGGCCTGAATTCTGGGCCTGGATGCTGTTTGTCAGCTCTTCAGCTCAAGGCTAGCACTCTACCACTTGAGCCACAGCACCACTTCCAGCTTTTTCTGCTTATGTGGTGGAATTGAACCCAGGACCTATGCATGCAAGGCAAGCACTCTACCACTAAGCCACCTTCCCAGTCCCTTCTCTATGTCCTTATCTTTCCTTATTATATTGAAATATTATAGTGTAACTACTGTTCTACTGAAAATAATAGACAAATCACAAATTAGTTTCTTGAAAATAGAAATTGAATTATTCAGTTTGAGAAAAAATTATTATATACATAATAGCAATATAGTAAATTATTCACTACAAGTACACAAAAATGGCCACATACCAGTTCGTTTAAAATTGGTCATAGAAGACCAATTCATATTCATAGTAAAACATTCATATTCTTAAAATAAACAGGTGCTTCCCCTGGTAATTGTTGCTCTGGACTAGAGATTAATTTTATGTTCATTCCCTTCTACATGGGTTCTTCCAGGAGCCAACAGAAGATAGGTAAACCAGTCTGATCAGCTATTCAGACCCAAAATCTTGATTCGAGGCGCCTGGATTCTTCAGATAGTATTCGAGCTTTTATCTACTTTTCAACAACCATTCCTTCTTTTCTACCATAGCTCTAAGAAAGTAAGGGGGTGGAAGTAAAAGTTTGGGTTCTACAGGAAGAAAAGCTTCTGGAGAATGGAAGTGTCTCTAGATCCCAGATTTCCATCTTCAAGCCAGAATTATCCAATAGTAAGATAAGGACTTTGTTTTCTCACTCTTCAGATAGCTCAACCCTTCCTAGGCAGGGTGGAAGGCCAGGGAGGTAAAACAGGGTGGTCAGTTCTTGGTCTTGTCACTGAATGTAGAAAAAACTTCTTAATGCTGGTTAAAAAACAATAATGGGGTGATCCTATGTCCCCTTAATAAGCCTAGTTAAGAAAGGGCTTGGGTAAATGCCCAGAGACAGTATGATTGTTGCCCAAGTAAGCATTTAAAAAATGAGATTTCTCCACTGCCTTTTTCCAATATTTTCTGGGTTAAGCCAGAAAAGCAGGATGTAATACAGCTTCCAAAATACACACTGTCTCAGGTAAGATAAAACCCTCTATGACTTACAAATGGAACTTCTCCTCCCAAACAGGATTCAAGTTTCCAAAAATGGTCTTGGTACGTTTCTTGGTTTTGCCAACTTGCACAGTCACATAAGGGTCACTGGATCCTGTTTTGTCCTTGGCTTGTAGGCCCTGGGCACACACCACTGCAACCCAAGCATAAATAGGAGGTTTCAGAGTACACATTCAAGTGAGTCAAAAGTCTGCGATAGCACTAGTCACAGGCTACACTATGGTAATATTCATAGTCTTCCAATGCTCTCTGCACAACAAACATAATCTTACTACTCTATATCTACCCTTAGTCTTAGGCCACCATCTACTTCTTCAATGTTCAGCCCAAGAATCCCATCTCCTTACCTGAGCTCTAACTGACCACTTATCCCTCACTGGATACACACATAGTTTAGTCCCACCCATCCAGTGAGTAAAATACTGGTTAACTATTCCATAATCTGCCTAACACTTTTCCCAAACCCCAGTTCTTATAATATCAAACTGTTAGTCAAGTCTATAGTGTCAGGCTATTAGCAAGTCTTTATATAAACTTGCTATAATTAATACTGTTTGAAAGTGCCAGTTTTGCTTCTCTCCAGCACCAGAATCTAAGTGAGGAGGAATCATGAACATTTGGGCCTTCCCACTTCCACTTAGTTCTATCTTCTTTCTCCCAGGTCCCTTACTTCATACCCAGATGCTTCTTTCCCAGGGAAAACATAGCACTGTCCCTTCAGATTTTTGCCTGCTTACCCGTGATGGTAATTTTGGCTGACCATTTGGAGGTCCCATCTAGTACACTTTGTTTCACCGTTTTCATCTGCTGAACATGGGCAACTTTGCTCACTGTGAAGACATCCCGGATAACTTCAAAGATCTCTGGCTTATTCCGCTCTCGAATCTTCATGCGGTCCTTCATGGCCATGATAATGTTCTGGGTCCGATCCTCAGCTCCATGTTTAGAACTCTTTTCTGCAGCGCCTGAAGAATGACCCAGAGAGTAGCGCTAAACAACAGGTTACCTCTCAGACCAAAACTGAGCTAAGGAAAAGGCCCTAGGAGATGACAAGAGCAATGGAAGGAGATTAGAAAGACAGGGATCATTCTGAGAAATGGAAAAAGTGAAGTCTGCTCTCTGGCCAGTGGAGTTCAAAACGCAACTCAAAGAGTAGCAAAATCTTGATAAGGGTAATGAGGGCTCATTATTCTATTCTATTTAGACACATGTTGAAACTTACCATCAGTTATCCAATCTAAGGTCAAAATATCACCAATGGGTATCTCAGATATGAGGGAGGAGTAGTGAATGGGCAAGACAATACCAACAATCTCATAAAACTGCCAAGCATAATGAAAATCCCAGAATTCATTATGGCACACAGTTGGGTTCTGCCCTATAACTCTAGTATCTTTAATTATATCAAATAGTGTGGTATAATAAGAAATGTATGGCTTTTGATATCAATCTTGAGTTCAAACCCTGTCTTCATTACTCCTAGCTTGGAGAACCATTTTTCTCTAAGTACAAATAATGATGCTTGTCTCTCAGGGTTATAATAGACATTAGTTCAGATAGTATATATGAAGTATATGCCCAGGGTCTAGAATATAGCATTAAATTGTCACTATCTCTTCCTTCTCCTCTTTCTCCTTCTCCTCCTTCTTTTCCTCCTTTCCCTCCTCCTCCTCTTCTTCCTCCTCCTCTCCTTCTTCTCCTTCTTCTCCTCCCCCTCTTCCTCTTCTTCCTCCTCCTTCTCTCTTCTCCTTCTCCTTCTCTTTCTTCTCTTCTCTTCTCTTCTCTTCCTCCTCCTTCTTCCCTTCTCACACCATAATCCTTAAAGCCTTTGTTACTATGGCTTGGTTTGATGACATAGAAGAGTACTTTCCCACATGGCTCTTCCCTGCTCTTCTTGGGGTTGGGCCACAATGAGTGAAAGCTGAGGAGGAGGAGGATGTAAGGAGAAAGAAACTTGGAGCACTACCAACCTCCTGATCAGAACTTGTTTCATCTGCTTCTATGTTCCTCATTCTGCCAGGGCAATATAAATCATATATGTAGCTCCCATATTCAGGCCTTGGGAGTTTGACACACTCTCCCTAGACCTCTGTTCCATCTGTTTGAAACTTCTATTCCTGGCAGTGTCATTTAAAAGTTCTATTTACAAACAAGGAATAAATGCTGTCTTGTTGAGGTACTAAGGCCTAAAACCTCACAAGGGTCTTCTGTGAGGCCTAGGCCTAGAACATCATATAGCTTACTTTCTTTATTTGTTATTAGTTTCAGTCCCTGATTAAAACACTCCTCTAGTCACTTGGGCAGTAAGGTCACTGTGGGGTATGTACTATATAAATTAACCTTCTGGAATCAACTAAACCCTAGAAGAAATTCTTGCTTCACGAGAAAGCTGCAGCAAGTTCTAAAAGTGCTTAAGCGGGTATCATAAGACCTGCTATTTGGGAAGGCAACCCATATTTATTTAGCAGACTACCTTCCCTGGAAAGGAAAGAACTTTAGAAACAGGTAGGTGAGTCTTCAGCTTTTTGATGAAGACTGTTGTGGAGAGGCCCTGATGTCCCCACTTCTCACCCTTCCTCTCACAGGAATACTCACGCTGCAGGCAGTCAGCATTGAGCAGGTCCTGGCACTTCTCATGGCACTTGACACCACACTCACTGCAGCGCATGCCCTGCCGGGCAATGCCCCAGAGCATACCTTCACACTCATAGCAGTAGGTGGGAGTAGTAGCTGTCCAGACCTCAAAGTTGTGAGGTGTAGTACAGGAGATGGGGTAGATTAAGGCCTGCAGGGTTTTCTTATATACATGGGATTTCTGAAAGACACATACCCCATTATTCACCAGTGGTTTTATGATTCTGGGGGAGTTATCAATACTGAGATCCTGTAGGACAGTCAGGACCCTCTTTTCCCTCCTGCAGAAAAGACATTTTAACTTGGCCCAACCCACTGTCCTGTCTGACAGACCGAAGTCTCTAATAAAGTTTGCTTTTGATCAGATAACACAAATTTGACTTAAAGCTAGGCTTGAGTCTTCTCCCAGCATTCACCCTTTCTAACAAAATAGAGTATTAGGCCCACCATAAAACGCTGCAATATGAGACTCTAGTCTGGATATTGGTTACAATGCAGAAAATTGAGATCTTATGCTGTTTCATCAACTTTTGAATTCTATTTAGTATGGCTATAGAAATGATTATTCTAAAGCCAGTGGATTCATACAAGTCCATGGGTCACTTACCAGCTCTTCATCCTTGAGAGAGGTACGTGTAGCCATTGCAGAAGTAATCCCCGCCTTCCGGGACTGGACCAGTGACTATAAGAAAGGCCTTGCTGTCAGCCCTGGCCATCACCAGGGACTGGCAAAGTGCTGGGGAGGAAGCTTTAGTCACCAAAGCCACATGACTATAACTTACACAATGGATTTTTACTGTCCTTCACAGGGACTTCCCTTGGCAACAAGTAACTAGTAATCCAGGTTAAGATGCAAACCCCATGATCCTCAGGGGAGTAGTCTAGCAATGTTAGAATAGTACTTCCTACAGGGTAATCTATCATCTGAGGTACTTCTTTTCCTTCACTATTCTTAGGTGTCCTATCCCATAGAAATTCCTTGTTTACAGGATGAAAAAAGAAAATGAAAGCTTAGAATTCTAGTAGAAAACAAGTTATAAGAATAAGAGAGAAACAACTCTTTCAGTGACATTAAAGAACCATCATCAGGAATGAGATTCCATGGTAATGGCTATCTACTGGAACCTCCCAATACATAATCAGTGGTGGGCTGTAGAGCCCAGCAATTCAAACAAGCAGGATACTTGGAAAACAAAAAGGCAAAGTAACCACAGTCAAATTAAGCAGGGAAGGAAAGTGGGGATGGGTTGTCCTGCTAGCCAGGCTCTTGTGTACAGGATCCCAGGTATCTTGCAAGCCCAAGCTTTAGGGATACCCCCAGGAAAGATAATGATTTCCTTAAGTCAGCAAACACTGGGAAGACTAAAGTCATACTATCAGCTTAAACAGGAGGACCAGCTGGGTGGGGCACAAATAGTTTGGGATGTGGACTCTTAAAAGGACGAGGAGGGGCTCTGGAAACACTCACCATGGCCTGTGCAGAGGAGAGCAGAGAAAGGAACAACATGATGTTAAAGCCCCTCAAGAGCATGAAACCTTTCAGAGGCAGCTGAGTATCTTCCCTATAGTCCAAAGTAGAGAACATGTTCCAATCCCCTTTGCCTCTAACCACTAAAATCTCTCTTAAATTCAACCAATTGGCTAGGGTCTAGAGTTCCTATTCTAAGGACAGTTATGCTACAAAATGAGACAGGCAAGTGGAGAGGACAGAGAAGGGGAAATAAGATATGAACTAAATACTTGCCGTGGGCAAGAAAGGAAAAAACAATGAAAATCACACTGAAAAGGAGGGAAAAGAGAAAACGGGAAATAAAGAAATAACAAAGTGAAAATGTGAGGTGACACTTTCAGCCAGCTAAGAGGCAAAACATGAGTGGGAGGAAAAAGAGAAAAGAGAATGGAGGATGGAGAAAAGGAGTAGATAGGAAGAATAGAATGGAAAAAACTGAAAGAAACAGCAGAAAACAGTCCTAAGTCAAGGATTCAGTCAACTCCTACAACTTGCATCTAATCTTGAACTCTGAGACTCCTGGGAGGTCTGGACTCCATTCTACCCCCCCCCCCCCCCCCCCGACAACCACAGGCTACAGACCTAGAAAGGGGGCTGGTGGTTATCCTCAAGGTCTTGTGATTAGCTTTCATGCCTAAGCCTGTTGCAATTCTATTCTACAAATGTTTACATTGCTTCTTGATGCCAGTCATTGGGTTACCAGAGATAGTATGAATTATGTCCTAGGAAAAGGTTTTTATTTGACCTCTTGGGAAGCGTCAAGTTTTAGTCCTGCTCATTACACTTTGAGCTCAACAATCTAGATTAAGGGTTACAGGCAATTCACAGTCCAGGCCATCAATGAAGGCTATAGGGCACTTATAGGAGTTAGATGCCTAAGGGAAGACTGTAGAGTCCAGCTTTACGGGCCAAAACCACAAATGTTCTAGGTAAAAGTTTGATCTACTGAAGAGTGTAGAGGTCTGGCTAGGAGTGAGGTAGAACAAGGTGCTACTGAAGCCATTATAAAGTCCTAGTAAGAGATTTAGAATGATTATAAGCCCATTATGAGCCACTAAATGGACCTGTTCCAATCTTAACAGTTTTCCAAGGCCCAATGGGGGATGCCATAAGACTACTTCCTATACTTGTGCAAAGTCTTCACTCACCAGATCACTGACAAGAGGCAATGGCTTTTTTCTGCGTAGATCTGGCATACTGTCAATGCCATAGAGCCCTCCAGCTGGCCTAAGGAGAGAAGAAAAGAAAATATGTCAGATTCAGAGGTCCACTCTCCTCACTCTCCCTCTCCCCAGAGGAAGATGAGTACAAGGTAGCTTCTACCATGTGCCTTTGAAAGGGTTAAGGAAGACAATAAATAGAAAAGATAAAACCATGTGATGAGCAATGGAATCTGCTCACATGCTTCTAGCTAAGGACTAAAATCATTTATCCAAGAAAGTGAAGCTACCTCTACTTATTTGAAGATGCTTGTGTTCCTGAAGGTAAGGTAAGAATTAGTGGTCAAGAGAGTTCCTGCCCACACATAGACCAGAAACACTATACCTCAAAGAGACATCCTGCATGGCCTATGCTAGAACAAAACCCACAGGAGTGGCTCTATAGGAAAAGCCTACTGTCTAGGTGAGCAAGACTAGTAAAGTATGATAAGTAAAAAGAGACCTTCTCGGGCTGGGAAGGTGGCTCAGTGGTAGAACGCTTGCCTTGCATGCATGAGGCCCTGGGTTTGATTCCTCAGCACCACATAAGCAAAAAGAAAAAAGCCAGAAGTGGCGCTGTGGCTCAAGTGGTAGAGTGCTAGCCTTGAGCTGAAGAGCTGAGGGACAGCGCCCAGGCCCAGAGTTCAGCCCCACGACCAGAACCCTCCCACCCCCAAAAAAAGAGACCTTCTCAATCCAAAAGTAAAAAGGTCACCAGTTTTGCCTATCCAAGCCTTTTGAAGAAAAGGGTTTCCATAGACAGAGAAGTCTTCATAATCAAGAGGAGACAGGGAGGTGGGATAGGAGACAAAAAATACAACGTGAAGGGTGCATTTAGAAAGGAAACAGCATAGTGACTCAGTCTGGCCTTGTTCTACAGACACACAATAGAGACCAGAGGAAAATGATAGACCAATTGGAGATAGCTAAAACTTTTTTTCAGTTGGTCATGGGGCCTGAACTTGGGCCTAGGTGCTGTCCCTGAGTTCTTTTGCTCAGGCTAATGCTCTACCACTTTGAACCACAGCATTACTTTTGATTTTCTGGTGGTTAATTGGAGATAAGAGTCTCACAAACTTTCTGCCTAGACAGGCTTTGAGCCATGATCCTCAGATCTCAGCCTCCTGAGTAGCTAGGATTACAGCGATCAGCGATCTAAAACTTTTATATCTTTACTATATTTAATTTTGTTGTTTTCCTGTTCTTCAATAAAATGTAATTAAAAAACAGAAGATATCTCCAAAAGAACATTGGTCTTATACTGAATTAATCTAAGTTCACCTGCACTTCCATAACTCCCTATATGTCTTTTGCCAATATTTCCTCTTTGAGTTTTGGTATCATGCCTATAAAATGGGGTGAAAGGGCTACAAAAATCTCTCTACCCTTTGCTGAAACTCTGAGACTTTTTTTTTCTGGTCATGGGGCCTAAACTCTGAGCCTGGGCACTGTCCCTCAGCTCTTCAGCTCAAGGCTAGTGCTCTACCACTTGAGCCATAGCACCACTTCCGGCTTTTTCTGCTTATGTGGTGCTGAGGAACCAAACGCAGGGCAGCATGCATGCAAGGCAAGCACTCTACCCCTGAGCCACCTTCCCAGCCCTGAAATTCTGAGCTTTAATGAGAGGAGATTGTTAAAAACACAACAACCCATGTACTTAATTGTTTTGCTTTGGTTTGAGACAAGGTCTCTCCATGTTGCCTAGACTGGCCTCAATCTTGAGACCGTTCTGTCTTAGCTTAGTGCTAGGATTATGGATGTGTTTCCCCATGACCAGCTATTCATGTGCTTGTTTTTAATGAGATCAACAAGTTGAAGGTGAGTTTGTACACCACAGCTGATCTAAAGAAAGAAGTCCCAGAAGACTAAATTGATACTTCTACTACATAACAAAGAATAGAATCACAAATTGGGTCAAAGCCACAAGCTAGAACAGTCAACATGTGGATTTTGAATTAACTAGTTCTGAGCTTAGAAATTTGTTTTTAATGCAATTACCAGCCTAGGGAAACTCTGTTTTTGTGAAAGCTTCTAAAGACTAAGGTGAAGGAAAGGAACACAAAAGACCAAACAAACCCCTACATGGCTCTATTTAAAAATAGTTTGGATATTGAACCCCCTTGTGTAACAAGTTGAAGCTAAATAAACAAATAAACTAATAATGATTTGGATATATTCCATTGGAATGTGTATATTTTACAGTTATTAGGAGAATTAAAGTTCACGAAAAAGCAACTGGTGCCACAGTTCATAGCCAATTCTAACATCTATATGGTCCACTGAAGTCAAGAAGTTTTTGCAACATAAATCATCTTTTGAAAAAGAAAAAAGGGACAGATTGTTCAAATTGTTGGCTCTTGATTAAAAAAAATCACACACACATACACACACAGTCACATACATACACACACACACATACACACACACATGTAAAAATGTAGGAATAACTAATACATGATCTGATTTTCTCTGGCCAGGAGTTGGAAGAGACAGCTACTGAGTCCAAACTTAAAAGCCTTTATAGGGCAAAGGAAGAAGAATCAGATGAGTAACTGGAAGTGTATGTAGGGGAGAATGGGATTTCAGGAGGTATTTAAATTCTCTCTCAAAAAGCCAATCAGTTACAGGCAATGTCTGAACTGTTAAAATGGCTCTGTTACAATCACATGGATCTGGAAAAAAAAATGAGAATTCCTAACGGATTTTTTTTTATTTTTTTGTCAGTCATGGGGCTTGAACTCTGGGCTTGGGCGCTGTCCCTCAGCTCTTCAGCTCAAGGTTAAGGCCCTACCACCTGAGCTACAGAGCCACTTCCTATTTTCTGGTGGTTTATTGGAGATAAGAGTCTTACAGACTTTCCTGCCTGGGCTGGCTTTGAACCTCAATTCTCAGATCTCATCCTCCTGAGTAGCTAGGATTACAGATATGAGCCACCCATGTCCAGCTCCTAAGGGATTTTTTTGTCATAACAGTTGAAGCCAGACTGAGTCCAGGCGATAATCAAATCATCTACATCATCAACAATACAATGTGAAGATTCTTCACAATGCAGATTCTTTTTCTAATGCCCTCATTCTTCTATGTAAAAGGACTACCACCACTATGGTGCAATAAACCAGAAATCAGGGGAGCTCCAAAGCTCTCTCCCCTAACCCTGGGGAATATATATATTATGCAAAACTCCTTCTTCTGCCTCTAGGAGTCAATCAACAGTTCTCTTCTCTGCCCAGAGAAGAGAACTGCCAACCAACCTCCTTCCTTCTTCACAATCCAGTTTATGGAGTGACCTCTCCAGCTTGTCAGGAAAAAAGCTAAAAGCAGACAGAAGAGAGATAAAATTCACATAAAGCTTACAGAGAATCACTTACCCTTCTGGAAGCCACTGAGGCAGAGATGGGTCACCATCATCTGGAATCTTCAAAAAGAGACGTAAAAAAGTTAGATTTTGGGATCTACTGTAGGTTAGGCTGTGATTAGTTTATGTCACATTAACCCAATGGTAACAACCATCCTAATATCTAAGCCAGTGACCTATCATCTACCATCCAGGGTGACAAGCAGGTCAGCCAAAGTGGCAGAACTTAGCTTCCTTCTCCCCAGTGAATAAAAAAGATATAGGGCCAAACTCATTGAAGTCCTAGGGCTACAACCACTCGAAGTTTTGACAGCTGCCAAAATTCACATTTCCCTATATAAGGAGTATAGTTAAGCAATAAGACAAACCTAAGGGAAGCCCTTCTTAGGCTTCTGGACCTCACTAAAACAAAGGAGAACTTCATATACAGTTGAGTCTTCTTCCAGCCACATTCCTAAATTCCTTTAATTGCTTCATAGGCAGACCTGCTATTTTTGGATTTCCCTCTCAGGTGATGACTGAAGTAGCCTGGGTACCTCAAACCTTCGCACACTGGGTATGCAAGTACAAGTCCCCTCTCTACATTTCACAAACTCTACAAGAGAGCTCAGGACAAATTAGACACTCAGGTTATCATTCTGGTGAATTTTACAGGCTGTAAGCAGTTGAAAACTGAGGCACCAAATAATTCAAGGAAGGAGCAGTAAAAGGCAAGAAACCAAAACCAAGTCAAAACAAAACAAAACAAAACCCCACTTTTTAAAATGTCTTATAGAACAAAAGCAAAACAAAGCAAGCAGTACAGAGAAGACAGCTCCAAAGCTACCAGCATTCTCTAGAGGACTAAATGGTGCCTGTTTCTCAGAAACAATAAAATGAATGTTAGCAAGTCTAGGGCTTCATACCCTTCCTTGTTCCTTTCCAGTCTTACCTCCCTGCCATCAAACTATCCTAGTACATATTAGCTCCAGAAAGGAGACAGAAGAAAGCTGCTTAGCTTTGGAAGGGGTGATATTTGAGTAGAGAGGAAAGTAGGAGAATTTGTGGATGAGGCAAGCCAGAGTAGAATAGAGGAAGACAGGCCAGGGCTAATGGATGGTAAAAAGGTAAGCAATAGGTCCAAATGAACTTTGGATTTCAGATCTTCTCAGTAAGAAAGAACACTTGTATATGCTTTAACCAAGCCTATCTGCCTGCATCCTTATACCACCCCATCTGCCATCTGTTCTGCTTCAGAGGTTAGGATAACACTTGGAGTGAAAAAGTCAGGAACAAAAGACAGTCCATAATGGCTAAAGCAAGTGACAATGTCTCAACACAAGAAATGATGGAGAAAACTGTAAGTCTTCTATTATTGCTTGGTGGCAGAGGCAAGGGGTGGGCACTGGAGGAGTACTTCCTTAAATCTTGATGTCTTACCAACTAGAACTTACCTTTCCTTTGAAAACACCTAATGTGCTGGTTCTTATTTTCTTTTCAGTTCTCATAATTAAACATTTTCCAGAAACTACTAGGCATACAAAAACATGCACAAAAAGTTTGGAGAGCAATCCCAGATTATGTGCAGTTCCTGTGCTTATAGGAGACAACAGTCTAGAGAATCACAGACCATGCACACGCAGCATACTGAAAGAGGGAAGAGAGTAGGAAGTACAGCCAAACTACTTATTCATAGATACAACCTGTATCTGAAGGAATCACAAGGTGAGCATGAATCCTGCACTTATGGCTTCAGTGCCTGTGCACACCCAACTGAGAGGATTCACAGTGTTTGCCCAAATCACAAGCAAAGCAAACCCTAAGTAAATGTGCTTTACAAAGCACGAGGAGGCCACACAACAGGTCTACAGAGGCTTCTACCCACAGAAGCCAACAAGCCTGCTCAAAAGTACAGAGCACATTCACACTCTGGGTCCCAACCAAGAGCCACAACATGTCTATAGCAAGTTCTGTTCAATACAAAAGCATGCATGCTGGGCTCAGCCAGGGGTTACAGCATATGCCAGAATCTGCAGCAACAGGTAGAAAATGGACACACACTGTGCAAACTGGGAGAAAAGGATGATAATCAATGTCTGTGGAGAGCTAAACTGAGTAAGAGTGGAAGCACACACACATGCTCTATCAAATATGCATCCATGCTGGCGCACACACAAATTTCACATTGTGCTCCAGGGATGTTAGCAGGAGCATGGAGCACACAGCATGGAGCATGCACATAAACATCTTTCTAGAAAAACAGACTATCTTTATGAGCCACAGCTCAGAGGCACAGATCATGCACACGCGCGCGCACACACGCACACGCGCGCGCACACACACACACACACACACACACACAGAGAGTGCTCAGAGAGCAGGGTGGAGAATAGAAAACAAAATGGGCCCAGAGAGCCAGAGGTATAACCTGAAGGGCTCCTCGCTTTCCTTCTGCAAGGAGAGAAAGAGCAGGGAGAAAAAAGGCAGAAAGGTTAGTAGATTCTGTTTTATAGCAGGGAACCCAAAGAGAATGTCAGCACACCCCAAGGTACATGGAGGAGAGAATCCTGGATACCTGTGTGGGCCTCAAAGCCCGGATTGCTGGCCCCTAGAATCTTATCTCTCTGTGTCTGCTTGGTCACTGACATTTAGTTTGAACTTTCCAATGGCTACTTAACCCAAAAGACAAAGTCTGCCTGAAGGTTCTACTCATCCTTTCCTTCTTTCTAAAGTAGTCCATAGTCAGGGCTGTCAGAACCACAGTACCAGGTTTGTTACTGATACTACATCACAAATAGAGGAGAATTAAAAAGAAATGAGTTAACATTCCTACTTTTTCAAGCTATTTCTGACAGACCAATGGGTCATCTGTACTGACAGAATAAACTGAGAACTAGGAATTCTTAAAGACAATGTAGCTCTAGAAAAATGGGTGAGAGGAAAATACTCTTCCTGGAACTAGACTTATCTCTTCCACACCTATATCCACATCTATAGTCTTTCTAATATATCCTATTCCCTTTGAATAAAAAAAAAAAAAAACAGCAAGTAACACTTCAACTGACCCAATGATTCAAGCTGGAAATGTTTCTCTCAACTATATTAAATACATTCTCCATAGCATGTCCCTTATTTTGAAGCTTTGTGTTTTCCCAGACTTCCCCATAATGACTAAGAATAAAATTCAATCCTCTTAAGGCCATCCGTACCCTCCATGATTGAATCCCAATCCCAGAGTTTTAGGGTTGGAAGTGTGGATCAAGTGGTAGGGTGCTGGTTTACCAATTCCAAAATTTCCCTCCCCAACCTTCAGATGCTTCCCAATACATTAATGACTGCCTATTGTGTAGCTCCTGCATATTCAATATTTAAATTCAATTTGACCAAGCATCATTTTCTTCCTCCTTCTCCTTCCTCCTCCCAATATCAGAGACCTGAGATCAATCATCACCCTGTCCCCTCCATCCACTTGGGCACTGGATTCTTCCCTCCTTCTACCTCCTTCCTATCCAATCACCCAGCCCTCTATAGTCTACACCCTAAATATCTCTGACAGCCACTCCTGCCTCTCTAGTCCAAACATCCACTAACCTAGTATATACTCCCACAGTCTCTGATCTGGACTATAACAAGGAATTGTATGTTGACCTGCCACTAGACACATTCCACATTTTCTATTTCAAAAGTTGAATCAGTTTTTCTTTAATTGCATAAATGGCTTCCCACTCCTTTTGATAGTATAATATGCTTCAACATTTATATTTTCCCTGATTTATCCTTTACTCCTTTTTGTGTGTCCAATGAATTTATCTATCATATCTCTGAACATCTTCCTCTCATATCTGCCATGTCTGCTGAGTGAGACAGGGCTTATTCTTCAATACTAAGCTCAAATATTATTGCCTCTATAAATTTATTTTCCTTCCTATCAAAGGCAGAATTAGGTGCCTCTCCACCATGTTACCATGATACCCATCCTTCTACAATACTATGCTTCACTGAACAGTCAGTATTGTTCTTTTTTCTTCTTAATGTCAGATTCCTTTATTCTTAAAGTATAAACATAACAGTTTATTTAAATACAAAATTTATTTTCTTGCAGGTAAGAAATTTTTCTGTCAATTGGCTTCTTGTAAATAAAAAATAAACATTTAAGTTATTGAACTATTATGTTTATTACTCTCAGTACATTTTATAATCCTTAAAACTCTAGAAAAAAAATCTTACATCTTGCCTAAAGGTATTGACCAGGTCCAAGTAGGCCATGAGAGGTATGCAATACTGCTCAACCCAAGGTAGTGTTCTTAGTGCTGGTGGTGCAGCAATGAATGGAAAAAAATTCCTTATCTTTTTGTTGTTGTTGTTGTTATTTTTGTGCCAGTCCTGGGGCCTGAACTCAGGGCCTGGGCACTGTCCCTGAGCTTTTGTGCTCAACGTTAGAACTCTTATCTCTTGAGCCACAGCTTCACTTCTGGCTTTTTGGTAGTTTTTTGGAAACAAGAATCTTAAAGAAACCTTTATCTTAAAGAAACCTTTATTCTAGTAGGTGAACAGACAAGAAACAATGATAGTGATGATGATGATGATGATGATGATGATGGTGATGATGATGATGATGATGATGATGATAATAGAGGCTGACACTAACTGAATGAACATTTACCTTGTGTTTGGCACTTTATTTGAATAAGTGCATTCATTTCTCACAATTGAGTAAAAATATGTCTCTTTTGAAAAAAATTAAACCAAAGATCAGAGAGGTTAAAAAAGTTGTCCAGTAAGTGGCAACACCAAAATTCAAAGCAGGCCATTGTGAGTCTAAGATCTGTTCTTCAAAAGAAATATATACTATGACACATAGTATCACATGTGATACTATGACAGTGTGATGAAAAATTCAAGTAGGGGGAGAAATACAATGCCCCCTGCTTATGGTGCTAAGAGTTGCTATTAAAATTTTATTAAAGGTTACTAAGGAAGATGACAACTAAGCAGAGACCTGAGGATATAAATAAACGATTCAGAGTCCTAGAATTAAAATATTTCAAGCATAAGATACAGCATATGCAAAGCCTGAGGTA